AAAGCTCCCATTCATGATGTGGTAGGGGGTGAACACAGGACAAACCTGGGGGGCAGGGAAGAATGGAGACAAAGGGAATAATCTCGCTATTGTTTCCACATCCCCCACTGGAATGCAAGCGGCAGCCCTGGGAGGTTTGAGAAAGGGAATTTGGCAGAGAAGGTAAATCGCTGTGGTCAGCGGGCACCTGGAAAACTCTCAGCATCCTCCCAGTGCCAGATCTCTCTGTCAGACTAAGAACCGCCACTAAGGGCTGTCGTCTCTATCCAGCCTTCACTCTGTTTTGAGACAGAACCCGACTCAGCTAGACTGGCTAGTCAGCCAGCTCTGGGGTCTTGTTTCAGCCTCCCCAGTGTTAGGATTGCAGACACAGCCCCGTGCCTGACCTTTTGTCAGGATTTGAATTTCCGCCCTCATGTTTGAAAGGTCTCCCCAACCCTTCTTTTTTACTTATCATCTCCCTGAAGTCTCACACCCACTGTGCTAGGCTTCACTCTCTGTGTTGTCCTTGGTCAGTCCTTGGCAGAGAACTCACTGTTTCATTTCCACCTTCAATAATCCCCCCTCCCCAAGCCTTCCAACCTCTCCCTGGCTACTCTCCTTCGACACTATGCTGACCCAACCTCCTCCAAGCCCTATTCCCTCCCAGTGTACCCTGAACTTGAAGTTCTTTCTCCAACCTCAGTTTCTAATACCACCCAACCCTTCAGCGGTGTCCTAAGCTGGCGGAGAGTCTCCAAAGTTCTGAGAGCTTACATTCTCCCCTATGCTGTACATGCAGAGTGAATATATCCCTAATTGCACACCTGAAGTCCACCTCAGCTGACTCCAGGCACCTTATAACTTGCTGGTACACACTCAGAGGGTGGTGGCTTCCCCATTCAGCAGGTAGGTGTGATTTTTGGGGTGGATACAGGAACTGATCTGAAGCTGGAACTGGAAGAAAGGAAACCAAGGTCCTTTGTTATTATAATAAAGGAAGCAAGGCTCACAGCTGGGGACAGACTATTCAGACAATATAGACAGGAAAAGCACACAGAGACCTCAAGTCCCACATCCTTCCCGGTAGCCAGGCTTCTCTACAAACTGTAACACGTTCCCTTACCATACATAATTCCTTATAGATGAGTTCTGTTACCCAGAAACACATGGTCACCAGGAAGTTCAGGCAGACATATTGTCAAGGAGCCCTAATAGCAACGATAACAAAGCACAACAAGTAATTTTTGTATTATTTTTAATATGTGGGGATTAGTTCTTTAAAAATCAGTGGATTTAGCTGGGCGTTGGTGGCGCACGCCTTTAATCGCAGCACTTGGGAGACAGAGGCAGGCGGATCTCTGTGAGTTCGAGACCAGCCTGGTCTACAGAGTGAGTTCCAGGACAGCCTCCAAAATAATACAGAGAAACCCTGTCTCGAAAAACCAAAAAAAAAAAAAAAAAAAAAAAATCAGTGGATTTGCTATTCGATATGGGAGTTGAATCAACAGATACAGAGATTAGCGTGGTCTCACAAAAAATATATATAGCATTTTCCCCCTATTCTCTTCTTGATGCCTTTTACTTTTTTGTTTTGTTTCTCAAGACAGGGTTTCTCTGTGTAGTCCTGGCTGGCATATAACTCACCATGTAGAACAGGCTGACTTTGACCTCAGAAATTTTCCTGCCTCTGGCTCTGAGTGCTGGGAGTAAAGGTGTGGGCCGCCAACTCCAGCAAGTCCCTTTACTTTTTTATTGTCTCTCAGTAACAGTGTGCAAGTGAGTGCCCAAAATCTAGATCTCTGGAGGAAAGGACAATATCACCACTACCAACTGATGCTGTCTTAAGGGAGGAAGGCAGCGGGATGGGTGGGGTCTGCAGGACACAGTCATCAAAACCAAACAAATAAAGGAGAATGTGTATGTATGAAGATATATATACACATATACAGGAGGTACTTAACAAAAGCACTCACCCAGGTCACCAAAATCTGGATATATCTGTCACTTTTCAGAAGCATGTCTGTCATTGATGGCCTTTCTGCCCACGATGCTCAGCTAGTGAAGTCTTGTCATGTGATGTCCACCCGCACCACATGAGAGCAGGTACCTTCTCCTCAGCCTGTTTTAAAGTGATCCTGTAAGTTTGGAGATAGGACTATTTTTCTGGAACTTTTATTGGACTCCTAGCCAATCAAAAATCAACAGGGCCTAAAGTGAGGATTGGTGGTTGTTAAGAGCTCTTGCTGATGTTGCAGAGGACCCAGACTTGGTTCCCAGCACCCAGATAGTATCCTACCATCATCAGTTCTAGGGGATCCAACCCCGTCTTCTGGCCTCAGAGGGTGCTTCACACACTTAGAACCTGCAAAACCCTCATGCAGATAAAATGAAAATAAATCCATCTTTTTAAAAATTGACTAGTGACTCATTGGCATGTCTCTGGCTGTAGACGGGAGAGGTGAACACCTTTCCTGCTCGTGTCTTAGTCACGTCTGTTTCCGGAAGCTGACTCCCTGCTTCTTCATTTCATCAGAAATTCCCTTGTTTTCTAGTTAGTCTAAAACATTTCTAGCACTAAGAGTTCTGTATGTGAATAGTGACAGAACACAGCTTCTCTCTCTCCATGCACCGTGGGAAATCTCATACACAGTTCTGTCAAGAGCTGGGAGTTGAAACCCTTGGGGAGGCAGAGGATAAATGCTGAATTTTCTTTTTCTTCTTCCCCAAAATACCTAGTGCAGATCTGGCCTATAAGCAGGACTCAAACATACACATGAATATATAGGAACATATGTGCTTATATGGACACCCAGGCTTATTAGCTGTTAAGTTAGGTCAAGGACCTGATTTTTCCATGGAATTTGGACAATATCAATAATATTACAGGAACCAGAAGGTGGAAAGCCCAGCCATGTTTATGCAATGGTTGCTTAGCATGTTTTATATAGTAACCATAGTTAAACAGTCAGTTGTCTTAATGAACAAATTTCTACCTAATCTTTTATTATCAGTAAGTTGCATCAGTATCGTAGTGCTACTGACTGAAAAACTCCCACTATGTGCACATTTTTTATTTTAGGTTGTTGTTTGCAGTCTGATCTATTTGATAGTGCCTGTTTACCCCTTTTCAAAACTATGGGTGGCATGATACTGCATGCCTTTATTCTCAGCACTTGGAAGACAGAGGCAGGTGAATCTCTTTGAGTTCCAAGCCATCCTGGTGAACAGAGCAAGTTCTAGGCCAGCCAGGTCTACATAATAAGACCCTATTTCAAGACAAAACAAAATCAAACCATGGGTACACTTAAATTTAACAATCTACAAGGCAGTGGTAAAAGAGTTCAAAGGGCAGGGTGGTGGTAGCATACACCTTTAATCCTAGCACTCAGGAGGCAGAGGCAGGCGGATCTTTGTGAGTTTGAGGCTAGCCTGGTCTATAGAGCTAGTTCCAGAGCATCCAGCACTGTTACACAGAGAAACTGTGTCCTGGAAAACCAAAGGGGCAGGAAGGGGGGTTTCAAAGACCAAATGGAACAGAGGTTCAACCATCTGTGAGATACAAGGCCTCTGATTTGATTATCCCAGATGCTCAGAACTATTCTCTGCTACAAAAGTGAGGACAAGGCCAGTGAGGACGAGGCCATTGTCTGACAGCCTGAGTCCAATCCCACAAGGCAGAAGGGAAGAGCAGACTCCCAAAAACTTGCTCTGAACCTTGTCATGTGCACATCCCCACAGAAAGAGAGACAGCTTGAATCAATAAGTACAATAATCCAGTGCTTGGTGACGTGGGCCAGGCGTCTCAAGGGCAATAATGAAGCCAGTTCTTAGAAATGTATACTATCCCTTATACAATAGGGGTTCTATAAGATAATGTGTGTAAAATAAATAGCATATAATAGGCTCCATGAAAATTAGTCCCGAAACCAAGCACTTCTCCCAGGATCTGAAATTCAAGCACTCAGAGAGAGCCTGCAAAGAGTGAACGTGTAAGAACATTCCCAGGCACCAAAACCCACTCTCCTGCCCAGGTGTGGAGCCTCCTGCGAAGAGGGAACCCAGCCATCTCCCTACTCACCATGATTGTCCCACTTGCTTCACAGCCTCCTCAGTCATTAATGTCACTGATTTAGCCCTACTCAGGATTATGCTTCCTCACAGTATCCAGAACTACTTTTTTTTTACAATAGTTGTCACATTCCTAATTATATAACCTTACGTACACACAGTTTCTTACAGACAGAATTGTGACATGCACTCCCACCCAAGTCATATGTGATGTCTTAGCCACAAGTGTCGTGGGAATGTGACTGTATTTGAATAAAAAGGCCTTTAAAGAAGTGATTGATTTAAATGGGCGTTATGATGGGCTAACTCAATCTAACTCAATCTAACAAGAAATGAGGGACTGTGTGACCACCTGATGTGGAGGACAAGAAGGTCCCTACCCCAATCTATGAGCATCTTTCTCCATTATTGGTGGCCCAATGCCCATTACCAACCTGGGGCTTTCCTTTAGGACATCATCACATATCAGGTCACCTCGTTCAAAACAGCAACCCTTAATCCACCAACCGCTCAACCCTGACTGTCTCAGGATCTATAAACCTTAGCCCACCAACCACTCAACCCTGAGTGTCTCAGGCATCCACTAATGCGTCACTTCATAGTTGGAGCCAGGTAAGTCTGGCCTGGCCTGTCCAGAATGGAGGGAAGAGAGCAAAGGCATGAATGGGAAAACTGATCTTGAATACATAGTCTTCATGGTTCTCCCAGAGCCCAGGCACCTTGGCTGCCAGTCCCTTGTTAGCTGAGATGCCCTGTGAATCACGTGTGCTGGGATTCAGGTACCCTGTGGTTTGGAGAAGGAAACTGCTAGGTTATGGTTATTCCCCGGGTGCCAAAGGTAGGGAGAAGTTGTGGAGGGTATTTCCCACGGGCCAGCCCTTCGTCCCCCTTCTCCACGGGTCTATAAATGGTTAATAAGCTGGCAGGAGAAGTTCTCTGCCTTCTATAAAGTTTGGTTCCTGGAGGCAGATTTTTTTTTTAAACCCAGCAAGTGTCAGATAATTGGAAGGGTGGGGTAAGGCTGCAAACCACGGTACACCTTTGTCAGGACTTGTTTTCAAGCAAAGCCCTGAAGGAAACAAGAGGGAGAGGAGAAGCAAACATTTTTGAAAGATCACTCAGCTTTAACACACCTTGGCTGGGGCTGGATAAAAAAAAAAAAGGCGGCCCTGCAAACTTGTGGAAGACAGGCATAGGAGGAAGAGAGAGAGGGTGTCTGCTCAAAGCTGTTTCCAGCTCCTCCAGACTCGAAGCCAGGTGAGTTACGGGGCACTGGTTCTCTGAGACTTTGGTTTAAGGCTTGCTTTCAATTGTAAGATGTTTGCCGGAAACAAAGGAAATTTACGTCTGGGGTTCTGTTTGAAGCAGTTAATTGGCCACACATTCATGCGAGCATGGTGCTTAAAGTCGGTCTTTTAAAGGCAGATCCATGTAAGACTAAGAAGTCATCTGAGAGCCAGTGGGCTCTCCCGGCCAGGACTTTTCTCCACATTGTCGCTACTGAAAAATGGCTAGTGGCAAATGGCTCTTGCTGGGTGGTATTCCCCCTTCCTGTCGCCCTCTTCCTACTAGACAGTGGAATGTCACAGGAGGGGAGTTCACTGCAGGTGAGAGTGGCCTCCCAGGCACAGGCCTCTGCTGCTGCAAGGCTCCCATTAAGGTCTGGGGCCTAAGCAGACATTGTTGCTCTTCCCTAACTTAAGGAAAAGGGAAATCTTTGAATGGTGTGATTGGCTCAGGGATTTCCTAGAGTCAAATTGGGAGAGGAGGGAGAGAAGGAAGAGGAGGAGGAGGAGGAGAAGGAGAGAGAGAAAGACAGAGAGAGAGACAGAGAGACAGAGAGAACTCTTTCTATGCATATACTCTCACTGGCCAATTTGAACGCTCTTTCCCCTCCTCCCAGCAAAATCACTTTGGATTTAGACTTACCAGTTGAGGTCTAACTGAACCACAGGTGTAGTAACTAACATACTGTCCTTCACTTCTGAAAGCTGGGCAAGCCTCTGCCACCTCACTTCTTGCTAGAAGCAGTTACACCACAGTCTAAAGTTTGGAACTGTTATGTCCTCAAAATGAGGCAGTTTTTAAGGGTATTTATTGGAAACCGGGGACTGTTTCTTCCCTCCTTTGTGTCCACTCTTGGAGCTGAGGCAGGAACTTGAGAAAAAACTAACACGTGTCCATCTGTTGGTGGATGCCCTCGGGTAATTAGGGGTCTGCCTTGCTGGTAGGCCCTGCAAAATCTCACAGGAGTCAGAGCAGAATGCGCTCTGTCAGATACGGTGAAAAGCCCTGCTTTAAATCTTCACAGAAAGCCCTTTAATCAGGAAATGGATTAAGACTAACGAGTTACCAAACACGGTTGGATTGTAAGCAATGGAAAGAAGTCTGTTGGCAATGCTTGGTTTATTCCCCATCATCAGTGACAGCAGCTACAGTGGGCATAATCACAAGATGACGTCTCAGTTGTGGTCATGAAGATCTAAGGTGACCAAATGCACTAGGCAGCAAACTCACAGCGCTACCTGTGACGTGACCCAACGCCACCAGCTCCAGGGCTCTGGTTTCCCCGGCCTTCAACCTGCTTGGTTCCTGTGTGCTGTCAGATAAATGTCCAAGGCATGGTTTCCTCCTTCTGTAGCACTTTTGATGTTTCTTTATTTTAAAATGTAAAGTCTACAGAGATTGGAGTAACAGAAAGCTGAAAACTACTGTGGTTCTTTAGCAGGATATAGGATCTTTTATTCCTAAGATTAAAAGCTAGCAATAAAAACATTCACCCTCATCATTCTCTCCTCAGTATCAAGAACAGGTGTTTTATGGGTCATTAGAAGATAAGATCAAGGCCATGGTTTGCTGTCACGCCAACAGTGGTCAGTCCTTGCTTATGATTGTATTATACCACACCCCATGTCTGGATAGTTTAAGTGTATGTGTCACCATTCAAGTAAAGTGTAGAGAGAAAAAACCACTTATCAAAGTAGAAAACTGTTTTCAGACTTTGTCTTCAACATAAGGAAGTCATGTGGAGTTGTTTGGAGGATAGGAAGAAAAGCATTAGCCATGCAATAACTATAAAGCGTATTCTCATGGGGAAGCTAAAAAGGTTGGCCTCACAGGAGGGGTGAGAATGGTGATTACTAGAGGCCAATGAGAAGAGACAGGGACTGGTTAACAGTTACCATATAGCCAGGTGGAGGAATGAACACAGCACAAGGGATTAACAAGAGCTGTCAGAGATGTATTATGTATTTTATGAACAGCTAGAGGGAAGGTTTATAGGTAGCCATGCTCAGAAAAACAGACAATGGTTTACAGAGATGGGACTGTTATTTAACTTGACTGGATCATTGCATATTTACCTGCACATTTTCTATGTGCCTTGAAAATAAATTTGAAAGCCAGGCATGGTGACACACGCTTTTAATCCCAGCACTCAGGAAGCAAAAAGCAGGTAGGTCTCTGTGAGTTCAAAGGCAGCCTGGACTGCATGGCAAATTCCAGGTCAGCCAAGACTACATAACGAGACCTTGTCTCAAAATAAATAAAAACAAATATCAGGGGCAAAAAAACATAAGTGGAATTAATTTGGAATTAATTTAAGAACTCTTCCATGATGCTAATGAACCAGGCCGAACACCTAGGGAGTTAAGAGTTAACGTTAGATGACAAAGATCCCATTAGCAGCAGTACTTTGGGAACCCCAGAGCACAGCCAAGGACCACCAGGAATGGCAGGCTCAGGCACAAACTCGACCAAATATTCTTTTCCCCGATGTTACACTTAAAAAAAACACCTACCAGCTCTTTAAATGCTTCAAACAGAAGTTCTGTGAGAAAAGTCTCTCTCCCGTGGGACAATCCAGCCCAGGTCTGTGCCCACCACGGTGCACTTCCTCTGAGGAACTCACAGGAAGTGCTAAGAAACGGCTCAAAGTCACAGAAGTCAGGAGGCCGCAAATAGGCATCTGCCCTCACAGCAGCCTGTCTCTTTGTGCCTTCTGGAAGCCGGGGAACCTGTGGCTTTTTGCTATAGGAACAGGAGGCTCGTCGTTAGAATTCAGGGAGAAGATGAGAGGCCTAGGAGTGCCTGTTACTGTCCTGGATACAGAAAACCCAGCAGAGTCGGGCCACTAGTGGACTCTTACAGAGCTATCACACACCTGCCTCCAGTCAATCCCATCAATACCTTGGTTAGCAAGAGATTCAGACATTATTCTAGGCAGTGATTTCACAGTAATATTGCCTATTTATTGAGTACCATTCTAGACAGCCAGTCACTGCCCCAACCAGCATCCAAGTGTACCAAAATGTTTAATCTCCTCAAATTCCTCCTGGCTCACGGTCATGGTCAATTTAAAGAAGAAGAACGATAATGACAGTGATGATGACACAATAGAGAATGTCAGAGGCCCTAAGATGATTAATTCTTAAACTAAGGATTTCAAAGAGGATGTCCAGCTTCACACAGACTGGCATGCACAATCCTACAGGTCATAGCCAGGCTTCCGGAATGGCAACCAGCCAGGTTTGGCCTTTAATGAGGCAGGTTCTCTTACTAAGATGTTTATGAAGCCATTCCTCTTAGCCCCAGGAAACACACCTGTAAAGACACTCAGATACAGCTAAATTTTTTCCCATGATGCCGCATTCCTTGTCCAGAGCTAGGTTTAAGAAACACCAATGGACAACGGGTTGGCACACATTCAGCCAGGCCCTGAAGCGAACTCTCACCAGTCTTGGCTAATGCCACCAGATTGCCGAACTGGTCTTATTTTGTCATGGTCTCATTAAGGAAGTCACCTCAGGCTTCATTATGACTTACATGGATGAGTCTTAGACAGTTTTGCCTCTGTGGGTTCCTTCCTCCACTACAAACCAAACAACCAAACAAAAAACTAAGAAAAATATAGTCCAGATTAAAGTGTATTTATTTCCCTTCTGATTTTAAAAGAAATTAAAATAACTTTATAGCCGGGCGTTGGTGGCGCACGCCTTTAATCCCAGCACTCGGGAGGCGGAGGCAGGTGGATCTCTGTGAGTTCGAGACCAGCCTGGACTACCAAGCGAGTCCCAGGACAGCCTCCAAAGCCACAGAGAAACCCTGTCTCGAAAAACCAAAATAAAATAAAATAACTTTATGGTTCCCGCTCAACGCACACACACACACACACACACACACACACACACACACACACACACAAGCACATACACCACAAACAAACCAACCAAAACCATGTTGTGGGGCTGGAAAGACAGTTCATCAGTTAAGATCACTGGCTGCTCTTCTAGAGGACCCAGGTGTGATCTCCAGCCCCCACACAGCAGCTACCAACCATCTGTAACTCCAGTTCCGGGGGATCTGATGCCCTCTCTGACCTCCCCAGGTATCAGGCATGCATGTTGCACATAAACATATATGCAGACAATATACCCATGCATGAAATTAAAAAAAAAGAAGAAAACAAAAAGCATGTTGTAGATGTGGCCCACTATGCCCCGTGCCATGTTGTGGATGTGGCCCCCCCGTGCCATGTTGTGGATGTGACCCACTATGCCCCGTGCCATGTTGTGGATGTGGCCCACTATGCCCTGCACCGCAGCAGTAAGGCAGCATGAAGCCATAATGCAGGTGAGGCATGCAGGACACCTGGGCAGAAATGGCTCCCATTCCACAGTCCAGACAGCACTGCACCGAAAGGTAAAGCTGAGGAAGAAGAGGGGCAGAGGGAAGAGCCTGGTGTTGAATCCTCCCACGAGCTGGTGCTGAGCAACAAGAGCCCAGTTGGGACGGGGACCCTTCCTGTCCATTTCTCGGGTGAGCAGCCTGCAGGCCATAGTCCATCACCACACCTGTCAGCTCTGCCTGTGCCTCCTGTGCCTAGGACCACAGCAGCCGAGAGCTTTTTCCTTCCAAAGCAGACTAAGGGGCGAGGCTGTGAGTTTGCGTGCATTTTCCTGCATGTGCCTGCGTGTGCGTCTCTGGGTCTAGTCTGTTATGAAGAACACACTTCATACCGTGCAAACTGTAAAGCGCCATGCAAGTATAATGTGGTTTTTTATCCACCAAACACCGCTCTCACATCCAAACTGTAACCCGGCATGGAGGCCATACACTCTGAGTTTTTCTTTGTGCATGAAGCTCGGATGTGAGTGTGTACAGATGCGTGTGCAGGCCTAAAGCTGCCAACAGGTGTCTTCCTCCGTCACTCTCCACCTTGCTTAACTCGGGGCTTGCCGATTCTAGCTACTCTAATGAGCCAGTTTGCCCTAGGGATCCCCTGTCTCTGCCCCTCATGTACTCGGATTACAAATAGCCACCATGCCTGCCTGGCTTTTAAAAGGACTCTGGGGAATCTGACCTCTGGTCCTTATGTTTGTCTCACCAGCATTTAATCCATGGAGCCAACCCACAGGTCTAGAACACAGAGCACTACAAGGCACAACAAAATGCCATAGTCGCTGGGCGGTGGTGGCGCACGCCTTTAATCCAGCACTCCGGAGGCAGAGGCAGGCGGTTCTCTGTGAGTTCGAGGCCAGGCTGGACTGACAGCTTCCAAAACAATACAGAGAAACCCTGTCTCGTAAACCCCCCTCCAAAAAATTGCCATAGTCAATACCACCAATGCTTCAACACACACCCTGAAGTCACCCATCACACTAGCAAATCATAGATGTTATAGTTAGTCAAGGGTCAGGGTAACCAGGCTGCAGAAGCTCTTGGATGCTCAGCCAAGGGCAGGCTGTCCTACTAGATCCAAAAAGAAATAGACTGTATGGGGGAACTATTGAATTCTGTCTGGTACAATCAATGACCAGAATGGGGGTTGGTATGCACAAGTTAGGCTTTGAGCGCTAGGAACTGGATTTTTGCGTATTAGCTTGAACGTGCGTCGGGGCTAGGCTTGCTAAAAAGCAATGGTTTCTATTCCTGCAGGTGGCTATGGGATGGATGTGACCAAGAAAAACAAGCGAGATGGCACTGAGGTCACCGAGAGAAGTAAGAGTGTTTGGGTTGGTTTGACTTGGAACTGCTTTAGCTCCTTTGGAGACTCCGCCCCCGGGCCCCGCCCCCCACTGTATCTCCCGAAGTCTTCACAGAGAGACTCCACTCCTTCTCCCAGGATTGCTCTTCTGGATTCCTACTTTCACATCCTTGTAACCAAAGGAGTTCTGATTCTTGTTCCGGGTGAAAATTTCCATTTCGGGGCCCAGGGGTGCGGCTCAGTGTAGATCACCTGCTAGCAGGCACGAGACTCAAGCATTATATCCAGGACCCTGGAACATGAAAGAGAAATAGAGAAAGGAAAGGGGGAGGGGAAAAGTAATGGGGAGGGGAAGGTAAGGGGGAGGGAAGAGGAAGGGAGAGGGGAAGGAAGGAGAAAGAAGGACTTCCTTTTCTATGTATCATTTCCCATGAGCAGAATTTTAATAACTGCCCAATTCTCTGTGGTTTGTTTAACTCTTTTATTTAACTCTGTTCTACTAGGGATATAGGACAATAGAAATCTAAAAGTATAATATCTTTCTTACGTCAGGGACTAGGCTGAAATAACCCTGGTGTCACAATCCAAATCTACACTAAAACCTGAAAACCCATGCATTTAATTTTTGGAACTGTCCAAAAGATAAATTCAGGGGCGTTCAAACTGTCTCTCCAGCAACTTTAAATTAGAAAACTTTTTTTTAACTTATTGTGTGACTTTCATTTATTTCCAACAACAGCAAAAAATTCTGGCTCCACAGACTTAGAAATTTAGGTCAGAAAATAATTTATTTTTACATGTCAAAAAAAGAAATCCCAAAGGCCGGTACAATGAGAGGTTGCTGTGAGCTCAGGGGCCATTACTCGAATGGAGCTGACACTTCCTGTGGAAAGCCATTCCCTTTTATGTCCTGAGTGCTGTCTCCACTGCATTCATAGTCCCTTGTCCCTGGGACGGTGGGAGAATTAAGGAGGGATGCGTGGGCGGCATGGCTGCGCAGCAGTCACAGCTGACTTCACGTGACACACGGTGGCATCTCCTTCCCTGCTCTTCCCACGCGCACGCATGCGCCTGAGGCATCTCCTCCCCCCTTCCCACGCGCACGCATGCGCCTGAGGCATCTCCTCCCCCCTCTTCCCACACGCACGCACGCACGCACGCATGCTCTCCACACCACCGCATCTGTACACATGTGCACAGCCACACAGAAAACATCTCCTCTCAAAGACCAGTGAGATGGCTCAGCCTGCAAAGGTTCGAACCTGCTGAAGGTTTAAATTTGAAATCCAGGCCCCATGTGGAGAAGGAAAGAACTGACTCCTACGATGTCCTGATTCCCACATGCGCACTGTGGCACACGCACGCCCACACATACAGTGGTCCCAGCCAAAGTGAGGGAGGTCGTATCGATGGCCACAGTCAGACAAAAAAGTTGACCAAGTTATAGCTGTGGGAATCCACCCAAACCTCATGCTACTTCAGGGAATCGACTCCTGAGGAGAGGGGACCTGTTTCCTCAGGCACCGGAAGCTGTTAGTGTCTCTGTGTACTTGACACTAGAGAAACTCGGGCTTGTGGTGTAAGGGACCCCTCCTCCAAGTCTGCCTCTAGTGTTCACTTATGGCTCATTTCATTGACCTCCAAAAGCAACTTACTCAGGCTGCCCCTCCTCTCTATACCTTCCCCACTCAAGCATGTCCTTGAGGGGTCCAGGATGAATCATGGTATCCTAGAGACTCCTCCGACTTCATCAGGGCATACAGAGTGAGACCAGGCAGGGTGTTGGCCCCAGCTGGCCCAGGGGTCTTTGGGAAGGAGCAGAGCAGAGATAGTGTCTGTGGCTATAAGAAAAGAGAGGCTGGCCCTCTTTCAGACTCAAGCTTAGGCCTGAACTGGAGCGGTCAGCGAGCGGTCTTGATGCTAAGACAACCCATTCTTCCAATCAGTGGGTAACTTCTTTTGGTGCTGTCTTAGTGTTTCTATGCCATGAAGAGACACCATGACCATGGCACCTCTTAAAGAGGAAAACATCTACTTGGATGGCTTACAATTGAGAGGTTAGGCCATTATTGCCACGGTGGGAAGCATGGTGGCGTGCAGGCAGACATGGCGCTGGAGAGGTTTCTGTGAGTTCTACATCTGGATCTGCAGGCAGCAAGAAAAGAATGCCACTGGGCATGGTTTGAGCATCTGAGACCTCAAAACCCACCCCCAGGGACACAATTCCTTCAACAATGCCACACTTACTCCAACAAGGTCTAATAAGCCTATGGGAGGCCATTTTTATTCAACCAACCCAGGCACCAAAGAGAAAATTTTATAGTCTAGGTACATCAAGCCTCATTGTTTTTTTTTGTTTGTTTGTTTGTTTTTTGGGGTTTTTTTTTTTGTTGTTTTTTTCGAGACAGGGTTTCTCTGTGGCTTTGGAGGCTGTCCTGGAACTAGCTCTTGTAGACCAGGCTGGCCTTGAACTCACAGAGATCCGCCTGCCTCTGCCTCCCAAGTGCTGGGATTAAAGGCGTGCGCCACCAACGCATCAAGCCTCGTTGTTATTGCTTGTATTTTCATGTATAGTAGGTTAGATTTCTTGGCGTAAGACACAATCATGTAAAAACCTTTGTTGAGCCTAACAATAGGCTTAACCAATGACAGACACCAGGCCCTGCCAAAACCAGCAATGTCAGTTCATGCCACAGCATCTCCTCTTTTCTTTGTCTTTTCCAGTTGTCACGGAAACCGTAACTACAAGACTCACATCCTTACCACCAAGTAAGTGGCCCTATGCTGATCTTGAACACAAGAGTTCACTTTCCCGCTGAGAAAACCTAAACTTTCTGGAATATATTTTCTTTTTTTATGGGAGAGTGTGGTTGAGACAGGATTTCTCTGTGAAACCCAAGATTTCCTGGAACTAGCTCTGTCTGTCAACCAGGCTGACCTTGAGCTCATAGAGATCCACCTGCCTCTGCCTCCTGAGTGCTGGGATTAAAGGTGTGTACCCGTCAACTGGCTTGGAATATATCCTTTTGCTAGCAGTTAAGTTGAAGTTGATTTATACACCACAACAGCTACCAGTTTGAGTTGTGTGGTTCACTGTTGGAGTAACAGCAACTGCTCGCTTCAGTCTAATGAGGACATCCCCATCATTCTCTCCAATAAACCCTCTTGTTCATTCACAGTCATGCCCCTCTCCCCTCTGCGCTCTCTGGCCCCTAGAGACCACATCTGCCGTCTATCTTCATGGATTTGCTAGTCTAGTCAGTAAAATACTAGAAATTCTGTCCTCCCTGGCCACTTGATTCCATTCCACTTTTGTTTGGGAGCACTGTCAGTCCTCCTGGTGGGTTCTAATAGCAGATATGGAGTCCCAACACTACCCCTGAGCCCACATGGGCTTTGGAATGGGGAGAACCCACTCATCTGTGAAACCCAGGGCCTCTGGTCCTTCCAGCACCTCTAGTGGCTGCTGTGTCTGGGTCCTGATCAGGCACTGGAAGAAAGCAAGCCCAACCTTCATTTGAGATGTGGGGAGAGGGGGACTTCGCATCACTCAGCTGCCTCCTCTATTTTTCCAACAGAATAACTTTCTGTGCTCCGCCAGAAAACTCTCATTCCCATCAAGCAGGACATTCATTCCAGACTTCTGTGTTAAAAACAAGTATTGGGAAAAGGGCGGCTTGGAATTTGGATTGTGGTAGACAAGAGATTCATTCCCCCAGCCAGCGGGATCCTGATGAGACATGGGGAAAGCTCTGTAGGACAGAGGATGAGGAGAGCCTCTGGCCTGGATCCACCTTGAGACTGTCACCTCTTTTGCAGAAGGGAGCACCAGCAATGGATATGCTAAGACAGGCTCTCTCGGCGGAGGAAGTCGGCTAGAGAAACAAAGCCTGACTCATGGCAGCAGCGGCTACATCAACTCAAGTAAGTGGCTACTGGCATGAGGGGAGGGGTGACAGACAGATGAGAAACAGTGAAAACCCACCATCTGCAGTCAGGGCAGGGGACCACTGCCCCAGCTCTCGTTAATTCCACATGCCCCCAGGAGTCACCCAAATGACAAGGGAGGGTGTGACTCCAATCATCAGCATTGGACAGCTACACCAGATGGGCTCCATGCCCCCATTTCCACTAAGTCTCCAGGTCAGGCGACATTCATCCATTAACTTCCAGGGGAGACTGTTGCCTTCCCGCCACATCCTCTACTTCCGCAGTATCATTTAGGAAGGGCTATGAGTGTTTAAGGTCTACAGTCCGAATAACAATGAACAAAAGGTGAAGACCGGGTTGCTTTGCTGAGGAAGGCGAATGAGGTGGTTCTCAACCTGTGGGTCCTGACCCCTTTCACGAGGGTCACATATCAGATATCCTGCATATCAGATATTGACATGACGATTCATACCAGCAGCAAACAAAGTTACAGTCAGTAAGTAGCAGTGAAAATAATTTCATGGGGGTCGCCACAACATGAAGAACCATATTAAAGGGTCTCAGTATTAGGAAGGTTGGGAACCGCTGTTCCAATAACAGGTAGCTCCAAGCTGTAGTATTCTGTTGGGCAAGCACTTGCCATGACCCTATTACTCCCTGTGAGGCAATCTTCCACATGAAAACAGAAGGCAGCAAAAGTATGACAAAAAAAACAGACACACTCACATAACCAACCCTGGAAGCCATTAAGATGTAGTGAAGAAAACAAAATGGTAACACTCAGAAGAGCCTGCCCTCATCCGTCTTGAGAAGGGGTCAGTGGTCCAACACCAAGTTCTCCAGAAAACTAACTCTAAGGCGTCCTTACAGCTCCCACACACTCTGTGCATGAGGATATCCTTATCTCTCAGTGTCTGCCCGAAAGGCAGGAGCAGCAATCCTGCCTTCCATCCCTTTCTGTGTTCCCAGGAGCCCCCTACCCCCCTCTCAGGGCCCTCCCTTAGTATCCTGGGGTTATTTGGCTAATGGGACAATGTTTCAATGTAGCAGGAGAGTCCTGGTGAGGTGGTGTCATGAGGGTTTACACCGTCTCCTAAGGCGGTGTAGTGGGTGATACCATGAGGATTTACACTGTTTCCCAATGGCAGGTGGGAGCATCCGGGGCAACGCTTCCACCTCCAGTTACAGGAGAGCTCACTCACCGGCCTCCACCCTGCCCAACTCTCCAGGCTCCACCTTCGAAAGGAAAACTCACATGACCCGCCATGGAACCTACGAAGGTATCTACCAGGAGAGAGCAGCTCTCTTCCTGGTGTAACTTCGCTCATCCTCCGCCTGTCGGCTTCTCCCGTGTCTGCGCTCCTCCCCGTCTTTCTCCTCACTTCTTGGTTGCTCTTACGGACTCACATTACTGCAATAGTCCTGCATTCGTTTATCTCTCATTCATTCGTTCATCCATTTAGTCGCTTCTCAACTAGCACGGTACCGTGCGTTACGCTGTATGAAACGCCTTGTGGGTCTTATCTTCAAGGACCCCTACAGTCTACAGGCGACTTAAGGTGGCAGAAAGAAGCAGTAGCACTGAGTAGAAGGTGATTACTATTTTCCACCGAGGAAATCAAGGATGACTCTATGGAGGTGGTGCTAAGCCTCGGTTGCCATCCTGGTTGCGCTCACAGATGGGAGGACAGGACAGTCCAGGGCTGAAGAGGGGTTGGGAGGCCCAGATTCTGTGCTAGGATTAGATTTTAGTGTCCACATAAGAAGACGCGGAGGGTTTTGAGCCCAACAGTCGATCATATTTGAGCCCCAGAAAGCCACGGGCAGGTGACAAGTTAAAAGAACATCTTCATAGTCGAGGAGAGAGAAATCCCGGCTGGGGCTGGGCTCCTAGCAGTGAAGGGGGCTGGGAGGTGTGAGATAAGAGGCAGGATTGTCGGCTTTCAGCTGATGGGAAATGCAAGGAGAACCTGGGAATAGCGGTGCCCCTGGGGCTTCAAATGCAGACTGGGCTCAAGCTGGTGCCAGCAGTTGGAACAGAGAAGCTAGGAGGAGGGCCCCTGCTTGGGGGAATTCTGCTAAGAGAACAACTCATTTCCTCCTGAAAAGCTTGCAGCTATGGGACTGCAACATCTGGCACCCCTGCCCCCAGGAAGCCTTATGGAGGTGAGTAGCCATTTGTACTAAGTGTCCCATCTGCTCTCCAGGGAGCTCCAGCGGCAACTCCTCCCCTGAGTACCCACGGAAGGAACTCGGTAAGTCCTCTCCTCATTTGCTATGGAAATGCTTCAATGGAGCACTAGAAAATGCCGGAATGGTGGGATGCTGGGCAGGGGGATACCACGAGCCAAGTGGATGCTTCTGGAAGAGTCTGGCTTCTGTTGTCCTGTTTCCCATTCCATCTGATGCACCTTTGCCAGTCCTAACCCGCTGTGCTCGGCATTTGCTCACGACACTATTAAAATGATAAGCTGTGTGTCCAAGGCTCATGCCAGGACATGTAAGCCCCTCAGGTCAAGCGACAACTATAGGGACTCTTCCTTCCATGAGCTTCAGAGACCGGCCACCAAGGAGGAGCTGCAGTCACAAGTACAAATGCTGGGCATCCCAGGTCCTCCTCTATGTCTCCCTTCCAAGGGCCACACCACACCCCTGCCCCCCCTAAACTATGTGTTCTTCTGACCTTAAGTCTTCCGTCTGTATTCTTAGGATCTCAACGTACAGATGAACTGACACTAGGACCCAATAGTTACATAATGATTGTAATTTTCCATATTTGCTCACACTGGGAAAACCAAGGCAGGCTTTAATAAGCAAAGATTCAGCAGTTTTTTTGGTCCATTTGACAGTGTTTTCAGCTGGCCCAAATGCAACACACACACACACACACACACACACACACACTTCAGACACAATGCTCTAAGCATCAGCTAACTCAACATTTGCTCAGTGAAAATGCATATAAAACATTATTTGTCCTTACGCATCTGGGCATCATTTATTTAGCATTTTCTATACAGCAAACCCCCACCCCAAATCTGGATTTAGGTACTGTGAAAATATCCTCAAGTGTCAAAAATATTCAGCATGCCAACTCTCATACGTGCCTGACACCACATTTTTCTCTTTCTCAGCATCTTCTGCAACCAGAGGGCGAAGCCAAACACGAGGTAAGTACCATCACTGAGTCCAGTTCAATGCATTCTGAGTAGCTAGGAGCCAGGAAGCAGAGTACAGACACATGCATGAGACAGCGCATCTGCCGGAGGCGCCTAGAGAACTGAGGGAGTCCTGGACAGCTCCATGAGCACGGGAGGTGGGGTGTCTGAGAACCACCTAAGCAGCTCCATAGGCGGGAACCCAAACGCAGTGACAATCTCAGGGATACAGTCGGACACCACATCTGTCTTCACAACCGGTCTCCTAGATGTGCCCTGATTGCTTTTATACATCAAGACAAGCAAAAGCCCTTCTTTTTCAAATTATTTCAAGGGATAGTTTTGTAAACTCATCACCTAGAAAAGACAAAGGAGAGGAAGACCCTAGGAAAAGCCTCCCTAGCAGAGCCCTGCATGACCATGTGTCAGGCTGTGCTGAAGGCAGAGTCCTTTGCAGGCTGAGTGTTCCCCATGACCAGGTTGTGCGCCCATTGTGCATTATCGGGGGCTCAAACTGGGGCTACCCCAGCCACCCACAGCCTTAGGATGAGAGTTAAAAGACTCTCTAGCTGCAGCTAACACTGTTAAGCTGCTGACTTGCTGACCCCCTGTTCAGATGACCAAGTGAACTTCGGAGGTTTCAGAGGCAGAAAACTGCTTGGCAACAGTGATAACGTGTCATGGGGCCTCCTTGCTCAGCCTAGGATTTCGTTAAGTCTCAGGTGCCTGGGAGTATGCAGTTGGCGAGTGCTGGGCAGAACGGGCCACGCCTTCTTGTAGCCGCACACCAAGCAGCCCAGTGAGCCACGGTCTGCTCTGAACTCGGGGTCCAGGACAGTGGTGCAGACTCCTTCATCCACAGCCTCTCTTTTTCTTGTCTCCTCTCGTATAGAAAGCGAAATTCGAGTTCGACTGCAGAGTGCGTCTCCATCCACCAGATGTAAGTGGTCACTATCCTGCTACAGGGAAATCGCCTAGGATCAGAAACAGATAAAACATGAGGGAAAGCGCCTAGGAAACCCTCAGAGTAAATCAGAAACAGATAAAACAGCAGGAATTAGGGGATAATGTGTGTGCTCTCTCCCTACCCCCCTTCTCTGTGTGTGTACATACTCAATCATCAAACATCCTTGAGATCTTTCTGGGGGTGTGCCTGAGCTAGCTAGGGTCTGCAGTAAGTTACTGTTTAGTAGTTCAAAGTCTAATGGAGAAAATGGAAAACCTGTCAACCCCCACAGCTCCGTGTGGAAGGGAGCATAGCCCAGGGAGATGGAGACAGAGGGAAGGGCCAGAGACGCCTTCCCGAGATTGGGGTTGACTGAAGAGAAGCTGGAGGGTGGATCAGGGTCAGGCTCAGCAGACAGAGCTAGCGGGCAGTTCTGTACCGAGTCACAATGGGAGAGCTCAGATTAGAGAAGGTTCGAGAGTTGGAAATAAGGGTTGAGCTTCACATCCAAGGTCAGAGATTCACCAGCGTCAGGGCACTGGAACCTTTAGGTCCCTGTTGTCCTGTTAGCATCTCCTTGGCCACATTTTGGAATGAGCCTGACTTTTAGGTGGGATCCAGAGACAAGGAGCAAAGGGAGAAAGAGCTGGTAGGTGACTCAGGACCCCAAGCTGGGCTGGCCCAGAGCTGACCAGGCTGTGGGATCTGACTCCAGTTAGCTTTCTCTCCTGAGTCCTCCCAGGCCTGGAGATATTGATCCCAAAGGACAGAGCTTTCTGGAGAGAGAGGCGGGGCGTTGCCCAGCACCTGTATGATTCTGCTTGGATCCTGCTCATTGTCCTTGCCTGAAGGCTCCCTTCCTCAGTTTGCCACTCTGAAGGGACACAAGGACCCCATTCACCCTACGAGTTCACCTTGTTACAAACAGTGCCAGCCAGATGGACCTGAAACTGACGCACGTGTGAATACAGTGTAGGAGTTAACAGACCTCCAATCCCTTTTGACACTGACAGGGATACCAGGTCCCCCAAGGCACCATATCCAAGGGAAAGCCCATTCATTGTCAAGCTAGTTTCTTAAGGAGCCTAGCTCTCTAGCTGCCCTATCCCAGATGATAATGTCTTCCAGGTGCAGTCACCCCTATGGTGCCTAATGAGATCTGGTGAGGAGATATCTCCCAAGAGCTCTGAGCGCCATGTGTGAAGCACTATATTTATTGGGCCGTTATGGTTACAAGCTGGCAGATTCATACGAGCCATACATTGTGAAAATTCAGAAATTATAAAGCTAATGGGAAGTGTCCCCACTTAGGACGCGGATGACAGCTTCTCTGCTATCAGAGTGCCGTCAACATTCTGATCTCTGGACTTAAGAAAGGGTCCAGGGCCTGATGGGAAGGTCTGGGGTTTTTCCGCAGGGACAGAACTCGATGAAGTCAAACGCTTGCTTAAGGGGAGCCGATCTGCAAGTGCGAGTCCCACCAGGAACACCTCCAGCACACTCCCCATCCCCAAGAAAGGCACCGTGGAGACCAAAATGGTGACAGCAAGCTCCCACTCAGGTAAGCTCGACAGCTCCAGGCTGCCGTGGGGGGATGGGGACAATGTGACGGATGTGCCCTTTCAGCTTTCGAAGACTTCTGAGTGTCTTCTGAGGATGTGGTACCCAGCTCTAAGGCCCTGAGATTCTCCCCAGTAGGTTCTCAGAGTGTTGGATGTGTTGGCCGGGTTACCCGAGAGAAGAATGAGGGAGGCTTTAGTGTTTTCTTTGGAGAATGAAGTATTTATCCTATGCCTACTCTATCAAGCCTTGAGAAAAAGCTCCGGACAAGAAAGGCGTAGCCAATGCCCTGGTGGAGGGGAGGGTCTCTGGGGGAGTTACACAGGAAACCAAGAGACTTGGGTCACGTGGGATGAGTGGTACTCAGCAGCCTTAGAGAGTGTGTGTCTTCCATGAGGGAAATGCTTCTTCAGGTGACAGGAAGAGGAGCCAGCAGCGCCACAGACAGAGATGAGGGAAAAGGCCACATCTTCTGTAGAAGAAGATTTCCTACTGTTTCTGGAAAGCCTTGAAGCCATGATCTTCCTCATGTGACTTCCTATAAAGCCAAGCCTCCAAGCATGTTAGCAGCTGTCTGGCCTGGTCCCTGTCACAGAGTAATTGGCAGAGATGACATCAGATTGGAAGAAACATGCCAGGACAGAATGCCTTTGGGTCTGGTTGAGATGAATGAGTAAGGATCTAACAAAGAAGGCTGCTGTGTCCAAGGAGTTATTACGGCCCCCACTCTGTCATCTGATGCACACCCTGCATTTGCTAGGGTGATTAGAAGCAGCTCCTGACTGAACTACCCTTTGGCATCTTTAAAAATGGCAGAGCAGTAAGGGGTTGTCCCCATTGGTGGAGAGAGGCCAGCAAGGTGTAGAAAGAAACGCTTAGAAGAAGATACGATTAGAGAACACTACAGTAAAAATTACTTTGACATTTCACCAAGAACTGGCAAGAATTTTGTGATCTAAGAGATCAATTACTTTAGTCAAAAATGGAATGACTAAATACCTCAGGCTGTCCTGAACTGAGGGAGTTCCTAGGATGTGGGACCCTTGGTGCTGAACTCAGGGAAGCCCCAGGAAGCCAAGAGACCAAGTTCCCCCAGCAGGCATGTCCATCTGTCTCGTGGTGAGGTGTGTGTGTGTTTCTCTTTCCAGTATCAGGAACCTATGACACGACAGCACTGGACACCAACCTTCCCTCCCACATGTGGTCCTCCACCTTGCCTGCAGGGTCCTCCATGGGGACCTATCACAACAACATGACAACCCAGAGCTCATCCCTCCTCAACACCAATGCCTACTCAGCAGGGTCAGGTAGGCGGGGGCTGCTCCCGGCTTCTCACTCGCAGAATGGGGACCCATGCAGCTCTCCTCTGCTGATGCAGAGCTCCCTGGTGTGGGTGCCATCCCCGGGGCCTCCTGGGAACCGCTCTGTTTGCTTGTTTGTTTGCCCAAATGCCCAAAGCGGTTCTCACTGAAACACTGCTCATTTCGACTTCATCTAGAAGCTATGTTTTTTTAGTAGAGTGAACATGCAAGACGATGTATCAGAAGAAATATAATAGAAAAACAGCACTGAAAATAGATCAGGACTCCATGTATCGATGGGTGTGAACTGATTGTGGGAATCTGGAACACTTCAATTAGTTTTCAGAGATTCCCGCTGCATAGAACGGGGCCACTAACAAGAAAGCCTTTAACTGGACCCGCTTGTCTACTCCAGATCTAGCTATCCAAGCTAGACCCTAGGGTGCCACATACCGATGTCCGGTTTTCTGCAGCCGAGAGAGAAAATGGGCTACTAAGGTTTCTTTTTCTAAAACCAAAAGCGTAAGAGAACATTGGCGATAGACCCAGCACTCTCCCGGCATGTCCACAGCATGCGTGCTTCTAAAATGGACTATTAAGTTTTCTTTTTCTAAAACCAAAAGCATACCAGAACGTTGGCGGTAGACCCCAGCACACTCCTGGCATGTCCACAGCATCTGCTTCTAAAATGGGCTATTAAGTTTTCTTTTTCTAAAACCAAGAGCGTACCAGAACGTTGGCGGTAGACCCCAGCACGCTCCCGGCATGTCCACAGCATCTGGGCTTGTGCCTTGAGACTTGTTGTCAACCGCCTTCTCTTTCCCCTCTGTAGTCTTCGGAATGCCAAATAACATGGCGTCCTGCTCTCCCACCCTGCTCCCCGGACTCAGCAGCTGCTCCTCGGGTCAGTGCTGCCATCTCGGCACCTCTTATACTGTTCTGAAAATTATTTATTTATGTTTAGTGTTTTGTGAATGAGAGTTTCACCTGTGTGTCTGTTTGTTCACCATGAGCATAAAGCCTCTGCAAGGGCTGGGGGTGGGGGGACAAGAGAGGGGATGGGATCCCCTGGAACTGAAGTTTCCACATAGGCACTAGGAGACACAGCAGTTAAAGCACTCAAGACAATCCCCCACAGACATGTGACAGGCCAACCCAAGGAGGACGAGCCCTTCTTGAGAACCTTCCCAGGTGATCCCAGGCTGTCCTGTTGGCAGTTATGTCAACTATCACAAGCCTTGGAGTCAAAATCGGGGCGAGGATTTAGCAGGGGTGTGGTGGTGCGCACCTTTAATCCCAGGACTCCAGAGGCAGAGATGGGTAGATATGTGAGTTCAAGACCATACTGATCTTCGTAATGAGTTCCAGGGCTATATAGAGATGTGCTGTCTCAAGAGGGGTCTTCAGGTAAACCACTTCAAATAAATCTCAGTGGTTGTTTTTATGGTGTACCGCCCAGGCCGTTGCGCCTGTGCAGACCTGGGGGTCAGAGCAGGAGAATGGGGCCTGGTGATGCCCAGCCCCTGCATTCAACCTGCCAACTCCTAACCCACAGGGAGCAATAAGAGAGAGAACCCTGTAAAACAGCAGGAATTAAGGGAAGCATCAGGTCCAAGAGGTCTTCCTGAAGGAAGTAGGTTTGAACTAAGATACAGGAAATTCAGCCCCCACCCCCACTGCTGGAGAGAGTTGATTTCCCGTGCCTAGCTGATCAGACTGCTCCCAGCCACGGAAGCCGCCTTTCCATGTTGGCCCAGCTCGTTAGCGCTAGCTCTCTTACAGCATATGATGTGAAGAAGATGCCCTGCTTCAAAGCAGGGAGGAGGCACCACACACCACACACGGGACAGGGGACCAGGGAATTTATGTGTTGTTAGAGAAAACGCTGAAAAGAAAGGGAGAAGCTGCCGTGTTGGTGTTTCTCAGCTCAGTATTCAGTGCGTATTCAGTTCCACACTGTGTACCAACTAGCTCTGAGAGCTACAGGGACAGGGTAGTTTCTGATTTTTAAGGGAAGCGGTAGCATTTGTCAGCCCTGTGTGAACTACCGTTATCTAGTCAAATGGCCTTTACTCTGCAACAGCCACCAGCAAAGTTTATTCTGGTGGGAGATGACCTCCTTACTAAGAGCATGGAGACCAAGAAATTGTTGCAATCTGCCTCTGGCAAAAGCGGTTTTCAGGAAAACGATCTGGGGGCTCCAGGGTGCTCGCAGCATCCAGGGGGCACCCCCCCTCACGGCTCCCACCCGTTCTCCATTTCTCTCGCAGTGTTTGGCATGCAAAACAACCTGGCCCCCAGCTCTTCGGTCCCAGCCCACGGCACAACCACCGCTCCCACAGGTTGGTAGCCTACGTTTAGAGCTTGGAAACTGGGAATTGACACCTCTTAGACACTTAGAAAAGACTCACAACACGCCTTTTCACGGAGTTAAAAGGACCCAAAGGCCTTTCCCACCCAAAAACAGGCCCGGCTCCCAGCCTGGAGATGCCAACCTTCATCCCTCACTGTCTCCGCTGGAGTCAAACACACACCGGAGCCTGTAAGGCCAGCATGTCCACCCTGTGGCATCTCGTTCCCATGTCTCTCTCAGCCCAACTGGTCAGGGCAGTGGTCTCTCCAGCTCACGCACTCTTCTGAAGGCCCCGGCCACTTCAACTGAATCTCAGTGGTTGTTTTTAATGGCGTAGCCCAGGCCAAGACCTAGGAGTTCGAGTAGGGGAAGGGGCGTGGTGGTGCTCAGCCCCTGCATTCAACTTGCCAGACTCCTTAGTTGCAAAAGAACATCTAACCCACAGGAAACAATAAGAGAGCCCTGTAAAACAGCAGGGACTAAGCTGAGAGTGAGCTCTGTGAGCACTTCCTGAAGGAAGTGGCTTAAGAACTAGGAAATGACACCCCCACATACACGTTATCCAAGCTCAATGGTGCTTTCTCCCTTGCAGCATATGGCGTGAAGAAAAACGTGCCACAGCCACCCACTGTCACCAGCACCGGTGTGTCCACTTCTGCCAGTGAGTGCTATTACCAGCTCCTAGGGACCAAGCTGGCCCATAGGGAGACGTGCCATTATGACACACGGTGTCCTGGAAAAGAGGCTGGACCCTGTGGGTGGCCTGGGATCCACGAACGCAGCTCACCCCAAAGGTCTCAGGGATGCTTCTACAGAGATGAGCAGGCTCTGAACGTGACTCTGTCTTCCTCCCAGGAGCAGAGCCCACCCCCACCCAGACACACACACCTGCCACTGTCACACTCCTGCCACCACATACCCGGAAACTCTTGACTTTCTCCTGCTAACACTGAGCTACGAGAGGCTGGGGGCCCCTCCGAAACTGCCAGTGCCCTCACCGCTCTCATAGACTCTATCAGTGTGGGTCCACGCCCTGCCATGAGCTCCTTCCTCCAGTGCTTAGGCCCTGCTGTGTCCCCTTCTAATCAGAAATCCATTCGTCTAAAATAAAAAGTTACCGCGCACACATTTAGTATCAGACAGAGGTTTGGTCTCTGCCTGTGGTGGACAAGACAGGATAAAGTCACGGTGAGATCAGGACAATGACCGTGGGGTAAGCAGATGACAAGCACAAAGACAAAGTGTGCCAGACAGGTACAGACCACGACACGATTCCTAAGCACACGGATGGGGTCCGTGTATGAGGCCGCAGAGCTTTAGGGGGTGGTCAGGCAAAGCCTCCCAGGATGGGAAAACTCATCTGTTGTTAGTTAACGAAGGGCCTGGCTGATGAAGGAGACTTAGCAAGGTCAATGAAGACACTGTGTCTTCGGGTAGGGAGATAACCCCATACGCCAGTCCCCAGCACTGCCGTCATTGGTCCAGACTCATGATGGCCAGACCTACCCGCAGGGTCCCCAAGACGCTTCAAAGCATCTTGTCTAAAAGAGGATCCCCCAAACACATGGGTGTAGCCTCTTCCCTTCTCCGATTCCTCTTCTGCTTCTGCCTCCCCTCCCCTCTCCTCCCCTCCCATCCCCTCTCTCCTCTCCTCTCCTCCCTCCCTCTCCTCCCTCTCCTCTCCTCCCCTCTCCTCTTCTCCCTCCCTCCTCCCTCTCCTCTTCTCCCTCTCCTCCCCTCCCCTCTCCTCCCCTCTCCTCCCCTCTCCCTCCCCTCCCTCCTCCTCCCCTCCCCTCTCCTCTCCTCCCCTCTCCTCCCCTCTCCTCCTCTGCCACCTTCCCTTCATCCTCACCCAATCTTTCCTCTGCAGCCTGCACCACCAGCGTCCAGAGTGACGATCTCTTGCATAAAGACTGCAAGTTCCTGATTCTGGAGAAAGACAATGTACCCTCCAAGAAGGAGATGGAACTCTTGATCATGACCAAGGACAGCGGGAAGGTCTTCACTGCCTCCCCTGCCAGTGTCTCTACAAGTACGCCAGGGATTGGGCAACATGGACTTCAGAAGGCAGATCGTGAGGGAGGCCCGATGCCCTTACAAGGTGGTTTGTCATCAAGCCACCGGGATCCCATTTTGATGGAAAAGTACCTGCCTGGACCTGCCTTGAATGCAGATAAGCCAGGAAATCAAGGGGAGTCTAAGGGCAATAGGAGTCTAAACACAGCCCCAATGAAGGAGATTAACCCAGGAACACTGGACTAGCTTCCTACCAGGCTAACTCTGGTCTTCCTGGGGAACGAGGGGATCCGAGCAGGCAGGGAGAGGGCCGGGGGAGGATAGACCAGGTTATCACTGATTCTGTGTACAGCTTCCTTTTCAGAAGACACCCTGAAAAAGGAAAAGCAGGCTGCATATGCCGCTGACACATGCCTAAAGGCAGATATAAATGGTAAGACAAAATCTGACCGTGCCCCCCTCACTTCAACAAAGCCACATACATATCGCTTCTCTGTCTCCTGGGACCACAGCGCTCAGAGTGGGGTCGCCTGGCAGGCAGCACCCAAGAGGGTGTTAGGGATGTAGGATGCAGCCCCCAGCAGACTTGCTGAGTGGGAAGCTGCAGCTTTTAATGTGAGAAGGGGTGCGTGTGTATGCATGCTCACGTGTGTGTGGGTGCACATGTGTGTGTGGGTGCACACGTGTGTGAGTGCACATGTGTGTGGGTGCACACGTGTGTGAGTGCACATGTGTGTGGGTGCACACGTGTGTGAGTGCACATGTGTGTGAGTGCACATGTGTGTGGGGTGCACACGTGTGTGAGTGCACATGTGTGCGGGTACACCTGTGTGGGTCCATGTGTGGGGGAGCACATGCGTGTGTGCTTATGTGCATTTCCAGTCCTCGAGTTCAGCTTCCAACTTGTGTTTGTACTTTTAGGAGACCTAAATACTGTGTCCACAAAGGGCAAGGCCACCTCCGTAGGTAAGAATGGGGGACCCTGCTGTGAAAGATCAGAAGGCTGGCCATGGCTAGCAGGACGGACGATGGCCCTTGCCTGGAGCCTGTGTGCGCATGAGCTACCCAGATCTGACTTCCTAAAGGCCCAAAAAGGGAGTGGGATGGAAGATGGGCGTGGACAGGCTCAGGTCACACAGATGGTGTCCCACAGGCCCACAGTTCCTAATGGCCGGCTGCCGTGGACCCTAAGTCCCCCACCAGGGCAGGCACAGCAGGCCAGGCCCAAGATGACATTCCTGTGCTGGCCCCAGCCCTCTGCCCTTGAGAGAAGTGCTCCCACCTCCCTGAGAGAACCACCTGCCCTTGCCTTTTGAAATGTATGTTAGGTGTATGGTACTAAGTGTAACTCTAGGCAGCTGTGGGAACCGCCAAGGGTGAGCTGTGTCAAGTGAGGTGTAGTGACCAGAGACGTGGGTTTAGGTCCAGTCAGGGGCTGGCGCCGCGGCAGCCGCGTGTGACACTCCTAACCCCGTCCTGTAGGCTGCGTCCTCCACTCATTAAGTCTCTTGTTTTGTTTAATGCCATAACTGTTTTATGAAGCAGGTCACCTTAACCTCGTTTTATAAAAACCATCTTGTCAGAGTCACACAACCACAGCCTGGGGTCGTCAGACTTATTTTCAGGAGAAGCTGCACACAAACTCAAACTCTCCATACCCGACCCACACGACATCACTAATTTCGAAGGGAGCTGGGCAGGAGCCTCTCCTGAATTCAACTCACCCTCCCTGTTTCTTCCACAGAAAACCATAACTATGACCGAGGCGGCGGCAGTGGCGGTGGAGCCAGAGGCGGCGGTGGCAGCGGTGGTGGAGGCGGTGGCGGAGGAACCTGGGGCGCTGCGCCTGCCTGGTGCCCCTGCGGCTCCTGCTGCAGCTGGTGGAAATGGCTGCTGGGCCTGCTGCTCACCTGGCTGCTGCTGCTGGGTCTGCTGTTTGGCCTCATTGCTCTGGGTAGGTGCCTAGGCCACAGAGCCTGAAGTCCCCAGCCCCTGTGCCCCTTCCTAGGGATGGGAAACCACGAGCAGTCCTGAGTGTTGGAGCCGCCGGGGGCTGGAGGTTATACAGTCACAAACCCTGTGTTCCTACAGATAGGAAACAGACCCTTGAGACGCCTGGCCCACGTCACCAAGCCCTGGGATTCTAAGGTCCTGGCTCCACCGTGGGCTCCGGCGGTGATGGGCTTTAACGTGGCCTCGCAGTCTCATGGCCTTTCAGCCTTTACCTTGCCCGAGCATCTCTTTCCCCGTCATTTCTCTCTCCGCCTCCCCGAGGAAGGCGAGCCAGCCTTGTACTCAGCTCCAGCGGTGACAGGGCCGCGCTTCCTTAGGGATGCCGGCTGCTGCTGGCCACAAGGATGGTCTCTGCATTAGTATTCCTGAAAAATGTGCCCAGGGGTGCGAGGAAGCCCGCTCCCCCAGGCCCAGGGCCCCAGAGCAGGAGCCAGACTCCGTCCTCACGGATGGTCCCCGCGTGTCCATCTTAGCGGAGGAGGTGAGGAAGCTGAAAGCGCGAGTGGACGAGCTGGAGAGGACCAGGGTGCAGTATTTTGAAGACAAGACGGAGAGAAGTAGCAAGGACCGTCTCCTGGGTGACATGCCCGGCGTGGGGCCCGGATTAGGCAAAGCAGACCTGGATGGCCACAGCCAGGAGGCGATCTGGCTGTTTGTGAGGAACAAGCTGATGACAGAACAGGAAAACGGTGAGAGCAGGCCAGAAACAAGGCCAACTAGCCCAGACTTGGGGGCTGGGTGGCTTTATGCTTGTCCTGGGGACACTGCTCAGCCCCTCTCCCCTTCCCTCCCTACCCTTCATCACCCTAAGAAGCAAGAGGAAGCCAGGCTGGGATCCCCATTTCTGGTTGTGCTTGTGTGGTGATGTATTATTTATGATTTATTAAAATTGCCTGAGGATTCAGAGAAACAAAGCAGCTAAGCCGATAGCTCTTACCTCTACCCAGATGAAATGGCAATCCCGTCCCCAGGAGTCCTTAGAGGAAAAAACTCTCAGTTTCTGTTTCTTCCTTTCCTCCTCCTCCTCCTCCTCCTCCTCCTCCTCCTCCTCCTCCTCCTCCTCCTCCTCCTCCTCCTCCTCCTCCTCCTCCTCCTCCTTTTATCCCTTTCTCTGCCCAGCCATGTCCCTCCTGTCTCCTCCTCCCTAGTGCTGGGATTAAAGGTGTGTGATTCCAGGTGCTGAGATTCACCTGTGTGTGAGCTGTTTCTTTTAGGATTGGATTGTGTAGTCAGTGTGTCCTTGAACTAACAGAGATCTGTATGCCTCTTAATCCTGAGTCCTGGGATTAAAAGGTGTGTGCCACTGCGCTACTTTGATCTCCAGTGGCTTTAATAAATCATAAACAATATATCACTGAGTGTGTGTGTGTGTGTGTGAGAGAGAGAGAGAGACAGAGACAGAGAGAGACTGACTCAAGGTTTGCTCTTTCTTGTAGGAAATCTCCGAGGAAACCCTGGTCCAAAAGGTACTGGAGTGTCCCAAGCCTTCCCCTGCTCTCATTTCTGTAGGGAGGCATATTTCCCTGGGATTGGAGTCCTTTTCTCTTTGTACAAACAGGGGAGTGTGGATACCACCCAACTATCTGTCTGTCAGAGAGCTGGAAGCTGACTTTTCAGTCAGACATCACAACAGAGTTGGGAGCCCAGGCACCACCCAGGAAAAGCCTAGGGGTCTGTGCTGGGGTGCCTCTGACAGGACCTGGGGACCAGTCCCCTCACCCTGGTTCACATGTTGCCAAATGACTCTGACACACGGGGGAGAAAGCTCGTGGTTAATATACCATCTCACAGTATGTCTTTCTGGTTTTAGGTGACATGGGAAGTCAAGGCCCTAAAGGTAACTATTCCAAAAACAGTCTACCTTAAACACTGGGGTGGTGAGGGTTTAAAGCAAGAGAAAACCCCTCAGGCTGAGAAAGGCAATTTAACAATGTGTCCTCCACGCATGCCTGAGGCAGAGGATTCCAGTCCCTTTGCTCCTCCACAGACACAAAGCAGCTTGTCCCCAGCCATGTCACTGAGGGTCTTGTCATCTCTGGAGTGGGAAGGGACTACCTGAAGATTCTGGGCCCCTCCCAGAGCCTCTGATTGGCTGTAGACGGGCCCAGGGACCATCTATCTTCATCATCCCATGGGGTTCTGAACCCAGGAGTATCCAGATGAAAAGTCTGCCCCTGACTCCATTCTAACTCACTTCCCCCAGAGACCCAGGCAGGAGCTGGGGCTCCTCCATTTGCCTGCTCCTCACTCCTGCTTAACCCCTTCATGGTTCCCACACACTCCAACCTCAGCACCCACACCCTGGATCCCTGCCTAAGTCCACCTCCCCAAACCTGCAATCCCACATCCTCCTGACCCTGCTTAGGACGGGAGCCGGAGCTCCGAGCCCCAGCCTGATGTGTCAGGTAAAGCACAGGACTGCCGAGTACCTCGGAACTCAGAAAAACATCCCATTTTCACTGCAATTCTGTCCCAAATGACTTGCTGGGCCTAATGACACGAAAGTGTATTTTTGGTTTTGGCAGCAGAGTGAACGTAACTGGGTGTGTTTGCTCCCTGGGAGGCCCATCTGAATCTTGCTAGCAGCTCCTCAGGGGACCGGGCCGTGTTCTCCATCTGACATCTCCTTTTCTTTTGTCCTTACAGGAGACCGAGGCCTTCCTGGGACCGCAGGTGAGTAACGTACAGTGATTACACACCCGGTGGGCTGGTTTGTGTGTCATAGCTGCGAAATTCTGGAGGAAATACAGACTGGAGGCTTCTTGTCTATCCGCAGGAATTCCTGGGCCCCTGGGCCACCCCGGCCCAGAAGGACCAAAGGGACAAAAGGGCAGCATTGGTAAGAGCCCCTTCCTATCCCTCTTCGCTCTTCAGCAGGTATTACTGAGATCCTGTTTTAGAAGACATCTGTGACCGCAACAGACGAAGATGGGGCCTTAAATAGGGAATTTGAAGAGGGAGAGGGCGTGGCTGGCATAAGACCTGGGGACACATTCTGAGCAGAGGGGCAGCCAAGGCCCCAAAAGCAAGTTCAAAGGGCACCGGGTGGATAAAGGAGCCACAAGCTGAGGAGGCTGAAGCGGTGCTCGGGGCAGCAAGCCAGAAGGGCTTCACTCCCGGTGAACTGAGAAACAGCTTGCAGATCTGGCGCAAAGGCAGGAGGATGTCATGTACTCACAGGGTCACTCTGGTCCTGGGTTGAGGGAAGCTACAGGGAAAGAGAAACAACAGAGGCCTAGAAGAGGCTCTGGGCCATCACTCTGCTGAGAAGGGGCTGTCTGTGAACTATGGCATGGGACCCTAACTGTGGGGGTGGCCGTTTCTATCTTTAGGAGATCCTGGTATGGAAGGACCCATAGGCCAGAGAGGACTAGAAGGCCCCATGGGACCTCGTGGTGAACCTGGGCCTCCTGGGTCTGGAGAGAAGGGAGACAGAGGTAAGAGATGACACCTTTACTGAGCACTTGCGGAGCACTGTAGAGACAGTACCTAATGAGGGAGTGTGGCCAGGCTAAGAAACAGGCCATGATTGGGGGTTTGACCAAGAAAGAGGTCTCGGAATGTGACCTTTCCAGAGAGGGTGAGGAACAGAACCAGGTCAAGGTGGAGGGCAGAGGGTGGCAGGGCTAGGAGCCCAGCCAGGTGTGGGTGGGGCGAAGGTGAGGCTTTCTGGCCTCTGAGGGCTGGCACTCAGCCCGGCAAAAGGCAGGAGGCCTGGTGCTTCTGGGGGCTGGGAGGTTTTGATCTTAGTTCTGTAACCATGAGACTGAGAAGGCCACCAGGAATCTCCTGATGCCAAAACACTTCAGGGAAGATTTTAATGTCACATTCTCTTAAAAAAAATTAAAAGGGCCACTCAAGTAAAGTCTCTGCTGTTCCCTAGAGTTCGGTCCTGGCAAGGGCCCACATGCCCTAAGAATGAGCTAGCGATTGTCGTGCTTTCTAGGTGCCAGAATTCTCTGGACAGGAACCGAAGGATGTGGCTGAAGAGTGGCCTCCCGGAGGCACCAAACAGTCCCCAGAACATGAGCAGAATGGAAGGCAAAGGAAGCCTTCCAAACATGGCAGGCTGGGGGATGGGAGTTTCTTAGCCTGTTTCTTCCCTCTCTCCTCAGGGATTGCTGGAGAACAAGGTCCTCGAGGCCTCCCTGGTGTCCCAGGTTCTGTGGGTCCCAGAGGTACGTGAGGAAGATCAACCTAAGCTTGCAGGGAGGGGCCACATTCGGAGGAGCAGGTCCTGGGCTCCCCAAGAGTGCTGGCTGGCAGCCCCAGATTTGTACAAGATGGCCACAAGAGTTCTTCCACAAGGGAGTTCCGGGTGTCGAGACTGGGATGCAATTCTTGTTTACAGTGGGGCTTGGGACACATTTCCGTTTCTGTTCAGTGGTCACATTATGTGGTGTGTAAGCAACTGGATGGGTTATACCAGAAACTAGAGACAGATGGTTTCCTGCCTTGACCAGGACCCAGATACACACACAAAAAGCAGCAAGTGCTTGGTGGCCAGCTGCAACGCCTTCCCTCCTCCTCTGGTCTGGCCTCAGAGCCTTAGGAGGAAGCAAAGATCTTTGGGCCCTGCCGAGCTGTGGCCTCCCCTCGAGGGAGGGCTGGGCACTGGGGTCACCACCGAACCCTAGGGGCAGGTGTCCCAGCCAGTCCCCAGCCTTCTGATTGTCTTTCCCGTTTCTCAGGTCCCAATGGCTCTCCTGGTCCACAGGGACCCCCAGGTGAGTGTGCTGCTTCTTGTAAATAGGTCCTGCTTCTGTGGTAAAGAAAGTGATGTTAAAGGAAAAACCAAACATTGTTAAAGCCAGAGAAGCGATTATAGAGAGAGCCTACAGAACATACCAAATGAAAGCTCTCGGTGCCACCCTGTGACTGAGCTTGGGTGTCCTGGTAGGTCCTGTCCAAATCACTTCTGGACTGGTATCAGGCCCCGAGACCTCCTAGTAGCTTCACCAATAGGAAGCCCCCATCCTGACTCTGCCTTGTCCCATATGGGCCAAATAAGCCATCCGGCTACCCTGAGTGTTTCTGTCGGGACACTTTCCGGTATTCTCATGCCCGGGCCTGGAGACTGGCAGGGACAAGGAACGTGGCCGGGGTGGGCCAGCAGGAGCATGGGGAGATGAGGATTCTGTGGGAGGCAATCCTTGACTTCTGCTTCAGCAGGGTGTGCGTGCACCTATGTGTGCACGCGTGCCCATCCCTTCCGGAGGTGAGACACCCGCCTGACCGCTCTCTTCCTCTGTGGGGCAGGCTCTACGGGTCCCCAAGGGCTCCGAGGTGAAGTGGGACTCCCTGGTGTCAAAGGTAAGCTGGGACTCTGTGGAGACCTCTCATTTAAGAAGGAGGTCAGAGAGATCTGACGGACCCACGGGCTGTGAGGACAAGAGTGGGAGGTGAGGCTGATAAGGAGGGAAGCCATTGGCCCCTCTTGGTCATCCCTGTTTCTCTTTCAGGTGACAAAGGACTTGCGGGGCCCCCAGGACCCAAAGGTATACCGTCCCCACTGTTGCTCAGTCGTCACCATGGCCCCCTCTGTTCCGAGCACCCAGACACAACCTGTGTACAGGGCCCAAGAGCACGCATGACTCTGGGGATGAGAGGGAGCGGAGAGTCTATTCTTCTCCAGCTCCCAGAAAGGGAAACTGAGGCACCAAGAGGGGGAGCAAAGTACCCACGCCACATAGGCATGGTTGAGTGCTCTCCACGGTGGTGAGGAGGCATTCTGAGGTGTCTGCCCTCTGGCCCTGTCCTCCCTGTGCCCAGGACACCTATGTGTGACCCCCGCAGATGTCATGAGGGAATCAGCTTGTGGGTTGACCGACCCCTGTAGCTTCATTAAAGCAGTGGCTCACCTGCACCCTGCTGCAGGTACCTCCCAGGTGCCCTTGCTTTCCACTAATGGCTTCTCCCCAATCCCTGTGTTTGTTCTAGGTGACCAGGGCGAGAAAGGACCCAGAGGCCTCACAGGTAAGTCCTGCCCAGGAATTTAACTCATGCATGACCTTTTACAATCTAGCAGTCACCAGGAGTGGGACAAATACAGAAAGATGAGACAAAATCTCCACCCCAACCCCTCAAAGAGCTTACGATCTAAGAAAAGCCCCGACCCAAAAATGCACGGGGTGGAGGTTAAGCATGAATCTAGGTGCAATCCAGTTATCTACAAACCATGTCTGCTTGGTACAGAGGTTATAGCTGTCTTGGACTTTTTTGGCGGGTGGGGTGGGGGGGTGGGGGTGGGGAATCTGGCTGGAAAACTAAGAGTCAGTTCCCAAAGCAGCATAAAGTGTGCACGGCTCACCCTCTGAGCCGCTCTTCTCCCGCCAACTGCACGGGTTAAAGGAAGCCCAAAGTCATAAGGCTTTGACCACAAAGGTGGCTTGCTGTTTCCAAGGAAATCAGACTCGTCCGTGTGCTTCTGGGCTAGTCTGAGCCTGCTGCCCATGGGGTGGAGGAGGGGTGGTTCCGATTGCGGTGTCAAGGCAGAGGTCGCCTCTCTTAGCTCCTCTGGGAGGAGAGGAAGCGGGCACAGGCATCCTACCAATGGTGGCAGCATACACCGTTTGTCAGCCTCCAGAAGCAGGTCCTCTGTTCTTTGCAGGGGAGCCTGGCGTGCGGGGTCTACCTGGAGCTGTGGGTGAACCTGGAGCCAAAGGCGCAATGGGTAAGTGTCCCACAGAGAGAGACAGGTGACAGTTTGGAGCTGGGCGTCCTTGCTGGGCTTCTCTAGTAAAGCTTTCTGGGAATTTCTGGCTACTGCTGAGGACTGACAAGGGTTGAGGTTTGTTGAACCCCAGTAGTTCACCTCAGTGACAGCTACGGACACAGATCCAGGCCACCACCCTTTGACTAGCCATTACTGAGGTGCCCATGGCAGGACAGGGACGCTCCAGGAAGCCCGGTCTCAGCCCTGAGTCCCACAGAAGCTCAAGCCCCGCAAGAGGAATGTGATGATTATACTACCATTCACTTAGCGAGGCATTCATTAGTAAGCACTTACTGCATGCAGGACAAGTAAGCTGGGAAGTGGCTTCCTCCATCCTCAAGCTATGACAGAGCTTGTGATTGGTGACAGGGACCATGAGAGGCACAGAGAACTAAGATACAGCCAGAGAAGAGATTGCTTACAGCGTGGAGGACAGAGGACGTGGCATTTCAGACGGTCCTAGAAACTTAGGAAGCGTTTAGTTATGGCCACTTTGGAAAACCGTCCATGCAGAGGCAGCAAAGGTGTAGTTAGTGAGACAAGTCCCAGAGGGAAGAGGTTAGGAGTATGCTTAGAGCAGAGGTGACAAGGACATGAAGGGCCTTCACTTCCCGGTCTGTCCTGTCGCATCAGGTCTGGTGTCCCCACACCGGTCCTCAGGTAAGGGGGCAGGGTGCCCTGGGTCATGCCCAGCAGGGAATTACTGGTTCAGGAGAAGGTTTGGGAAGGAGCCTGTACCCCGGGGATATCACAACAACAAAACTTGACAGCCACAGTGAGGGCTGCATGAGCCTTCCACCTAGGGACTGTGTGTTCTAAGCCTACTGGGACAGGAGACAGAGAGACAGAGACAGAGAGAGACAGAATCAGAGAATTACTCCCCAGAGTACCTGACAGACTTCGTTTTTTCTGCTTTACAGGTCCCGCCGGCCCTGATGGACAGCAAGGCCCCAGAGGTTAGTCACTGTTCTGTGGTCTTCATTCTCATCAGCTGACCTTGTCTGCCCCTCCCTGCCCTTCCTTCACCTCTACACGCATGCCTGGGCCCTCCATCCTAACGACAAAGGAGCATGCTGCCTGTGGAGATGAACATGGAGTTGGTCACAGCGCTTCCTCCTGCCTGTCTGCCAGAATGCCACCCAGGAAAACCCATTGGCTCAGATGTGCTTTTCCCAGGGACAGCCATCCCCATTTTTCATGTTCTCTGCAGGTGAGCAAGGCCTGACAGGGATGCCTGGAACCCGAGGCCTACCAGGACCCTCTGGAGACCCAGGAAAGCCAGGTAATGGGACAGGAAAAGGAAGCCACAGTCCTCTGAGTGTGTGTGTGCAACTCAGGCATGCTCAGGTGTGTAGGACACTCTTGAGGATGTGGTATGTTCGTAGGTGCTTGTGTGTGTGTGTGAGAGAGAGAGAGAGAGAGAGAGAGAGAGAGAGAGAGAGAGAGAGAGAGAGAGAGAGAGAGTATGTGTGTTCTGGGTTCCTGGCTCTCTTATATTCCTGAAACATCTATGAACCCAAGTGGGCTTAGGATGGTGGTTCTCAACCTGTGGTTCACGACCCCTTTGGAGACCGAACAACCCTTTCACAGACGTTGCCTAAGACCGTCCTGCATATCAGATACTTGCATTACAATGCATAACAGCAGCAAAACGACAGTTATGAAGTAGCAACACAAACACTGTTATGGTTGGGGGGTCAGGGCATCATGAAGAACTGTATTGAAGGGTGGCAGCATCAGGAAGGTTGAGAGCCACTGGCTTAGTATCGCTTCACAGCAAAGCTCACAGAATTGCTCTCTGCCCAGTGAGGGGAGCACTCTGGAGTGCACCACCAAGACCTACCCTCCTGTGGCCTCCGATCCCCTCACTGTCCTGCCTCCTGGGGAACAGTCCTTAACCTTCAACTCTTGGCCCTGCCTTCTTTTCTGCAGGTGTCACAGGGCCCCAAGGACCACAGGGTGAGTCATCCAGTCCCTCCCAGCTGCCATCTCCTCCCAGGCCAGACACCTTGGCCAGTGCACGAGCCTGCCCTTCCCCAGCTCCAGTACAGGAGGCCCAGGCTCTGTCACAGAGTCCCGAGAAGTGCCACAAGAAGAAAGCACGCACAGAGCAATGGGGATGGCTTTCTGACGTCAGTGACATCAGACCCTGTTTGTGCTGGGCTCTGCCCCCCTCTGGTGCAGGAATGCCCAGAAGAAGACCTAAGCCAGAGGATGCTGCTGGCTAGGAATTCTCTTAGCTAGCAGACCCAAGTTCCCCTATGGCGTGGAGGGAGTGTGTGAACCCCTGCGCTGCATGGCTCTCGGGGTTCCCTCTGGGATGACAGCTGCGCTAAAGCCCATCCTGTAAAGCCTACCTGGTTTTTATTATCATCGCCACACCCGGACCCTTATTTCTAAAGGCAACTGGACAAAGATTCATAGTGAAATCAGGGCCAGGTTACCCAAAGGTCATCAGTGGCTGCTGCTTTGGACACCGCAGGCCCTGCTGTAGACAGGGATGGACAGTAGCTGCTTTGTAACCCAAGGGGATAGGAATCCCTCAGAGACTCTGTCTGCCTCAGCCCAAGCCTGCTACGCCTCCACTGCCCAGGCACAGACAGGGCTCGGGGTGAGGGCCCTCACTCCCATTCCAAGTGACTCAGGGCAAGACCTGAGTCCTGCTGCTTCCATCAGGCAGCCATTGTGGCCACACTGAGCGGCAGGGTGCTGCTCGCTGTCAGAGGGGGGAGGGGCGAGCATTCAGAACTGCTGGGCTTTAGTCATCGAGACTGACTTGTGTTTAATCACATCAGGACTTCCTGGTAGCCCTGGCCGACCGGGGACTAAAGGTATGTGGATTTTTCCCAATAAGGTATTTATTTTGTTTTTCTTCTCATCAGTCATTTCTGCAGCTGAAAGGGGTTGGAAGGCTGGAGGTCTGCTCTGACCTGAGCCTGGACCAACAGTGGCATCTAGTGGCTCCCACAGAAGGCAGGGAGGCGGGAGCTCTGAGATTTGTGTAGAGCAATCCAGGCCCTGAGTCCTCAGGCCCACCTGCTCTCCATCCAGCCATTCCCAGGCTGAGACTCGTGTTCATGTGCCCAGGTCCTTGTGGCAGGAAGACAGGAAAGGAAGCTGCTTTGTCCCCAAGTTGTCCAAGCCCTTGTTTGCCTCTAGAATACTCCCGTCACCTAGGCTCCATCCCCACGGACTTGATGCCTTCTGAGGCTAGAGCCACCCTTGGTCTTAGCCTCCACCCTGTCCGGGGGTAACTGAGGACATCAGACATGAAGAAACAGCTCTCCACACAGGAAGGAAGGAGTGTTTCAACCCCACTATGGGACAAAGTCGAAGGACTAAAAGGGATCTGGCTAGTGCCACCTAGGCACATAGTGACACCCTAGTTCAGTCCTGCCCATCAGGCCCCGGCCCTGAGCAATGCCAGGAATGCCGGGTGATCAGGGACACACACTGTCTTCCGTCCCTGTGTTCCCATGCTCCTAAACCTTGACGATCTGGCCACCACAAGCTTTCACAGTCCCTCTTGCTGGGACCCTAGGAAAAACGTTTTCAAAAACCTATTCTTTCCAATGGGCAGTTGAATCCAGAAAGATCTTTGAAGATAAATGAATTAAACCCTAAAATATGACAGCTGAGTTCATATTTCCCAGGCCAGCAAATCTCTGGTGGCTTCAGTGAGGAATCACAGGCCTAGGGATAGCACCACAAACTATTCTTCGGTGACTTCCTGTCCAAGGGGGCTTCGGAGCCTCTTTGAATGAGATGCACTGCGGAGTCAGGTCATCTATCAATTGCTAGGTTGTGTTCTCAGAACAAACTCAAGTACTTTCTCCTGCTGTGGCCTCGATGTCCGGTTGGAGGGATGTGAGCAAAGCCACCCATTTGCGCTGTGGGGCTTAATGTCACTGTTCCCAGACTTCCAGAGTCCCTGGAAGGATCCTGGTCAGTGGAGCTCCAGTTTTCAGTTCTTTGAGTAAAACTCCAGGCCTCAAGTATGCTGGACAATGCTCTCTAACACTGAGCCTGGCTCCCGGCCCCAGGATGCCAGGCTGCCCTGCCTTCCCCTCCGCTGTCTCCAAGCCCATCCATCCATGGCCTGACAGTCGGGAGGCGCCATGAGTGGTGGATGTGTGTGGGGACGCACGACGACCCCTGTGTCCTCACCCTGGAAGGCCTTCCTCACACTTGCATTCTCGTGCCTAAGACCAATGACACAAAAGAGCAGTGACCTTGTGTGTAACTCAGGGTCACCCAGGTTTGCAAATTGCCAAAACCGTTTTCATGCTGCCCAGTCAGTCCTGCTGCCCAGGGAATTAGAATTCACACACATCATGGCTTTTATCTACCCTTTGACCTTCAGATATGTTTCCCACCTACGGCCATTACAGGAAGAAGAGATGTGTCTCATTTCTAGCCCCATCCTGGCTTCGTGGAAGGGCAAACTCTTCCACAGCCTCCCAGGAAGCCCCTTCTCTGAGCGAGGACTGATGCTCGGGGCCCTGGGTCTAAGTTGACAGATAAATGCTCAGCATACCCCAGACTCCATTCACCATTAAAATCCCATTAGCTGGAGGGCGAGGGGACCACAGGTGACCCTCAGAAACTTTGAAAAGGACTTATCAAGCCACTGATTAATCCTCTTACCCACGCTTCTTGCTCTCCCCAGGTGAACCTGGCGCTCCAGGCAGAGTCATGACTGCAGGTAGGTGGTTCCTCCCTGAGTTCTATTTGCCTGTCCTGCGTGGGTCATCTGGCCTAGGTCAGCCGCAGAGTCAGCTGCCAGCGGGTAGGCGATGCTTAGGGCAGGGCAAAGGTGAGCTCTGTGGGTCAGCACAGGGAAAGAAGAACATTTGAGGGCTGAGACACAGAGTCCAGCCTGCCTTGCCTGCAGCTTACCGGGGCGCTGGCACCTCTATAAAGGGGATAAGAGGCTCAGCGTTCCATGGCTCTTGTGTTTCCAGAGGGATCATCGACAATCACTGTCCCCGGACCTCCTGGGCCTCCCGGTGCCATGGGACCCCCAGGACCTCCAGGAACCCCAGGTCAGTCTGTCTCCTAGCTCTTCTCCTAATCAGCAGCAGACTATGCATGCAACAGATTCTGGGCACATTTGTTTACATCCTGACGCCAAGGGCAGGAACTGTGGAAAGAGAAAGTAGGGTCCCAAAGAGCCCATGCTCTCAGCAGGGGGCCCTGATGCTACTCTCAGCATTTGCAGATGAGGAGCTGAGACCAGAGTGGGTAAACTACTTACCTCGGGTCACACAGCCAACCAACCAGGGGAGAGTTTCTGCCCCCAGAGTGTGGGCCAGTTAAAAGGAAGTTTCTTGAACTCTTTGTTTCTTAGAAAATAATATAATAGGGCCGGGCGGTGGTGGCACACACCTTTAATCCCAGCACTCAGGAGGCAGAGGCAGGCAGATCTCTGTGAGTTCGAGGCCAGGCTGGATCGACAGCCTCCAAAACAATACAGAGAAACCCTGTCTTGTAAAACCAAAATAATAATAATAATAATAATAATAATAATAATAATAATAATAATATAATAGGTATCTGGGGAAACACAACTGCCGGTACTCTGTGAGTACTCAAATCCCCCAGTAGGACGAGATGGCTGCAGAAACATGGAAGAAAGCTGTGAGGAGGCAGCAGTGTTATTTAAAGGTGGTCTCCTGGCCCGACCTGTGAGAACTCTGTGGTTGCAGCTACACCCTTACAAAACATACACTTAAAAAACTGCTGAAATGAAACAAAACAATTGCTCAGAGTTAAGCAACTGTGATTTGTTCCCTATTTTTCCAAAATGCTTGTTATGTGTTTTAATTATTTTTTTAAATATATATATATTCAAATTGGTACATGATTTGTACCCAATGCAAGTGTGCTCCAGTGAGTGTGGACATTTGAGAGACACAGATGTCCCCAACCAGTAAAGAAAGGGACAACCCTGACCACCTTGAGGTTCCCTTCCTGTCAGAGAGTCTGAAGGGGCTGACCTCAACTTGCTAATTACTCCTGACTTAGCCAACTAGTCCACACTCTGGGAGAATGCCTGTGGATCGATCCCCAGGTGCCTGGCCTTTCTTCCCCTTTTCCTGTGGGGAGTGTGTGTGTGTGTGTGTGTGTGTGTGTGTGTGTGTTTTAACTTTTTCAATAATTCATAACTGTTTCCAGGTCCTGCTGGCCCTGCTGGTCTCCCAGGACAACAAGGTATGTCACACCTGTAAAACTGCAGGCTGTGGACTGGGTTCAGGGGGACATTGTTCCCAGGTGGGGTTTAAGTCCCTACATTTTAGAAAAGGGGGAGATATGTGCTTCAGAAGAAATAGCAGGTCCTTCGGCTCTTCACCATGGGCCTCGCAGAGCCTCCATCATGGAAGCCACCTCCTCTCACCCCGGCCCATATTTCTGAGACGACCCGGGCTCCTCAGGACAAGAGGACTTCGTCTCTGTGGTGTCCCAGTCAAGGCCAAGCAGACTATTTTCATAGCCTTGGGCTTCAGAGGGTCACCCTGTTAGTAACATTACCGTCCGGTGACTTCTCCAAGTATTAGAAGAACTTTGGGGAAAGTTCTGGGAAAACTGGTCCAAGCCACCACGGGTTTTTGGCCACAGGTAAAAGGAGCAGCCAGCCATCAGTGACGTGGCCTGCTGTCTACTCACCAGCCTTTCTTCCTTTGGTTCGGCTGGAATACAGCCTCTCCTCTCTAGGGCCTGCCCTTCCTTAACTCGGCCACAGCCTCCTCAGCTAGGCTCCACTCTGCATCTGGCCTCACCCCAGAGGGGTCCTCTGCTGCAGGCAGTGTGCACCCTAACTCCCTGTGTCCCCCCACAGGCCCACGAGGAGAGCCGGGACTTGCTGGTGACTCATTCATAAGCAGTGGCAGCTCCATCTCCGAGGTCCTCGCTGCCCGTGAGTGCAACCGCTGTCCGGGGCGGGTGTCACTGGGGAGGGAGGAGATGACAGCGTTGTCAGGGCCCGGGCAGCTGCACCACACAGCACCGTGAGTCACTGGGGAGCCAGAGGGATCGTGTTCCCTGCTCTGCAGTGGAAGCTAGCAGGAACAGAAGGGGCTGCCTGGCAACAGAGGCACCATCACAAGGATGGGGCAGCTGACAGGCTCTGGGCTTCCGGCAGGACCTGGGTCAGATCAGACCTGGGGAGTGAGTGTGGCTGGCAGGAGTCATACAAACCTGACTCAGAGGACAATGATGGGGAACTCGGGCTCTCAGTCACTAGAGGCCTGGCATCTGTGGCCGTCCACAAAGTCCTTTCAAGAACCCAGGGGGACCGCAGCTGGGACTCCCACCTGAACACTTGTGTCATTAACAGCAGAGGTGGCAGCCGACCTCAGCGGTACGGAGGCAGTACAGTAGGGGCTCAGCATTTGGCGGCATCTTGCTGAATATGAGTCATCTCAACACCCCTGTAGGGCAGGTCGCAGTGATGCTGGTTTGTGGTGGGGGAAGCAGAGCCTGAGAGAGGGTGAAAAAGTTGCCTAAAGTTGCCAGCTGGCTACGCAGTGAGCTCTGGTTGGCTGACCCAGAATTCCTCCTGCCCACACCGCCAGTTTGCAGCCCACCCTGCTTCTGAATGGGGGCGTCACAGCAGACAGGGGTCTTAGAGGGTATTGTGCAATCAGGGTCTGGATCGCAGCGCCAAGACTAGCCATCCTGGTGAGAGACCAGGAGCACGGTGGGAAAGGCCCTGACGGCAACCTTCTGTGTCTATTTGCTTCCTTCTACAGAAGGAGTTGACTTGCGGGGTCCCCCCGGCCCACCTGGCCCACGAGGGCCACCAGGTGAGAGCTCATTGATTGTTGGGAGGTGGGGAGTCTTGAGGGCTGGGGGACATGAGGCATTTCATGAGGAAGCTCAGGTCCTACCCTCAGGAGTCAACCACCAGCCCCCTGACCAGCACTTTCTCTGTCTTCTGCAGGGCCTTCCATCCCAGGCCCACCAGGACCCAGAGGTCCTCCAGGTGAGAGCTGAACTCCTTGCTGGGAGGGGACAAGGACAGGGAAAGCAGGAGACAAGGAGACCTGGAGACCCGGGACCAGAGACCGTGTCCTTCTGGGTTGGCCCTCGGGAACGGCGTCCCTGCCTCCTCCCCAGGCAGAGGGCGCTTGGCCCATCACTGGCACTACTGAGTGAGTCCTGGCCTTCTTTTCCCTAGGGGAAGGCGTGCCAGGCCCACCGGGCCTACCAGGATCTTTCCTGACCGACTCGGGTAAGTTTGGGGCATCCAGTCACACCTGCTCCTCCCTCAGACCGAGGCTGGCTGTGGTCTCCGTGCAATCTTCCCGACTGGCTCCCAGACTCCCCCATTCTGTCTTTTGAGGGGAGAGTGAACACAGAATCCCCATTATTTGCCGCAAGCAGGATAAGTATGCCGTGTAAACCCAGCAACACTGGGAGCCTGGCTAGAAGGAAAAACCAGTTCTGCTCTTGGGAGACTCTGGGGTGACCCGGCCTGGTTCCTGGACTCAGAACTGGGATCAGAGGAAGTAGGAAAGGTGCAGACATACAAAGAAATGCAACAATGTAACAAAAACAGTATGGAAGTAACTAAGAATAAGCATTGGGCTAGAACATGTCCCCGTAGAAGATCCATCGCCCCACTTACCTGTCTGTCTACCTAGTCATCTTTCCATTCACTCATATGCCAAACCTTTGACCACGCAAACATCTTAACACACATCCTTACAAACACACACACACACACACACACACACACACACACACACACACACACACACACACACACACACGGCAGGTGCTGACTGAGCAGCTACAGTGTGTCCAGTACTGTGCTAGCTGATGCTTCTTTGGAAGTGTTTCATCCACACTCCAAATATTTCTTTTCTCACAGAAACCTTCTTCTCGGGCCCTCCGGGTCCACCTGGCCCCCCAGGTCCCAAGGGAGACCAAGGTAAGCACAGGGTCTCGGGGATCCAAGAAGTTGGTGTCTTCTGCTCATCTGCCTGGTGGCCAAAGCGCTTGGATGAGGCTGGACAGGCAGGGGCACCTCTTCTGTGTCCCGTGAGACGCTCAGCAGCCTGCAGCATGGGATGGAAACAGGAGAGGGGCAGGGTGGTCAGAAACTCTGCCAGCAATCTCCACCCGATTGACGCTGTGGAAGGAGATGCCCCAGGTTGTCTCCTCCAATGCCAGAGTCCCCATCCACTCTCACTGTGCGCCAATGGAAATCACAGTACCTGACAGTAGGTGTCCTTCTGCAAGGCCCTCCAGGCCTCAGAGGACATCAGGGGACATCAAACACAACCTGGGCTAGGGATGAGGTAGCAAGAACTGACCCCCGAGGACTCTGAGCTTATTCAAAGTGCATCTGGTCCACACAAGCAGACCAGAGAGTCACCATGAATAGCTAAGTATGCACCAGCCCAAGTGCAGGTGTGTGTGTGTGTGTGTGTGTTTGCATGCATGCATGTGTGTGTGTTTGCATGTGTGTGTGTTTGCATGCATGTGTGTATGTGTGTGTGTATGTGTGTGTGTTTGCATGCATGCATGTGTGTGTTTGCATGTGTGTGTGTTTGCATGCGTGTGTGTTTGCATGCGTGTGTGTGTGTGTGTGTTTGCATGCGTGTGTGTGTGTGTGTGTGTGTGTGTGTGTGTGTGTGTTGCTGCTCGGACAGGGATGCAGGCCCAGCGATTGTGGATTTTAGGGAGCCTCCCCAAAAGGAGACGTAGTATCTTTACAAGCAAGACTGTAGCAGACATGGAATGACTGCTGAGCCACCCACCAAGGGTGCTGAACTTAACTTGGGAGCTGCCTGGAAAAGGTGGTACAAACAGGTCTTCTCGGTTTGGATTGCAGGTGATCCTGGTGTCCCAGGTACTCCTGGCATCCCTGGCGGTCACTCTCATGGTAAGAACTAAAAGAGAATAAAGTTCTTCCATCCTCCAAGTGAGGCTCAGGGTCCCAATGAGGATGGTGATCCATCCATTCATCTCACCTCTGGTTTCCATGGTAATTTCATGGCTCCTCAGACACTCAACATGAGCTACCATTAAAGCCTGTGGGGACGGAAGGAAAGATGCATGCATAGTCACAGTTAGCAGACCATGGCTGGGGACCAAAGATGAGGAAGGAGCAGGCCCTGCGAGCTATGGGTGGCCTGAGAGAAGGGAGGCGGTGAAGGAAAGGAAGGGGCAGACGGTCTGGCTGGCCCTGGCTCTGTGCCCTTGGGGACGTGGCCTTCTGTTTGCTGCTCAACTGTTTTCTCTACAGAGAAAGCCTTAGACCAGGCAGGGACACAATGCCTGGGCCCGACCTAGAGTGAAGAAACCTAGTCAAGGATACTCTCTCTCCCCTGCAGGAGAATCATCCAGCACTACATACAGGCAGGGCCCACCTGGCCCTCCAGGGCCCCCTGGGCCTCCAGGCTCCTTCAGCAGCTCTGGCCAGGATATCCAACGCTACATCGCAGAGTACATGCAGAGTAAGTGCCCCGTCACCCACCTTGGGAAGGGGATGGAGGGAGGAGAAGGGCTGTTGTGATCATCATCTTTGTGGCTGGCCCATGTCTTTCACCCACGAAGCCTGGCCTGAAGGTCAGAGAGCTGGCCAACATACCCGCTCATACACATGCCTCATCTTCATCCAACCTGGAGATCTGTGTGTGCATACCACACACATGCACAAAAATGAATAGCACACACACACTTCCAAGTGTCTTCATGCCCCTCCCATCCTAGTGTGGGGTGATATATCACATGGATGTCTGACTAGAGCCTTGTCAAGCCATACCCTCATGGGCAGCACAGGCCTGTTTCTCTATCAGCAGCAAAGCAGCCCAGGCTCCCTGCTGGCCATGGCTCAGGCCCTGTATGGATCAGGATAGGTTTCCTTCCTCCCCGTGACCACAGGGAGGTCGGATGCTCTTGGCGGTATGCTTCATTGCTTCATTCCTTTGTTGGCAGGTGACAGCATCAGGACCTACCTCTCTGGAGTTCAGGGTCCCCCAGGCCCACCAGGTCCTCCAGGGCCTGTCATCACCATCACAGGAGAGACTTTCGACTACTCCCAGCTGGCAAGCCAGGTGGTCAGCTACTTGCGGAGTAAGTCTGTCACCCTTCTGTGCTCTCATAACCTCCTCCTAAAGTCCCGTGTCCCCAGAACCTCATCTCTCAATTCACTGGGTGCTGTGCCCTTCCCCTGACTCTACAGCTCATCATGGCTGGGCCTCAGGGACCCAGCTTCAGCAGACACTGGATCGCTGGGAACAGAGGCATGGTAGGGTAGGCATGAAAAGGATTGGGCCAGCATGCCCCCACGTATGGGCCCATCTCTGCTCACAAAAAGCTACCTTTGCTTGGCATTATCTAAGTAGGAGTCAGGATAAAGCATATTATAGAACATGGCATTCCCTATGAAAAGCCAACATCTGGGCTGGAGACGGTTCAGAGGTTAAGAGCACTGACTGCTCTTCCAGAGGTCCCGAGTTCAATTCCCAGCAACCACATGGTGGCTCACAACCATCTGAAATGAGATCTAGTGCCCTCTTCTGGATAAAAATCTTAAATAAAAAAAAAAGAAAGAAAGAAAAAGAAAAGCCACCATCTAGTTCTGGCCTCTTCGATAGCCTGGAATGCTCCACCTGTTCATTCTCCCAAAGGCGATGACTAGCTGACTGACATTTCAGAGTCGGGACATAGAGGGTCTGCTCTGAGACCAAAGAGGTAACCTGAGGTCTTCTTCCCACAGCATCGGGCTACGGTGTCAGCCTGTCCTCTGCCTCCTCAGAAGATATCCTGGCCATGCTGCGACGTGAGTCACCTACCGTGGGCTGGAGCAGGGCCTCTTTGCTCTCTTCTGACCTCACTTGGTGGGCACACAGGTCCCGGGCTAAGCTTCGTAAGGAGTACGAGCAAGAGGAAGTCCTCTGTGACAAGGGACCACTCACCCACCGTTCCGCCTTGTGTGCCGAGTCACAAATATATCAAAATGGGAGAGTCAGTCTCCCATCTTCCTCTATTGCAGGCACCTCGAAGCAGGCTGATTTCCCCTCATGCGTGTGTGTGTGTGTGTGTGTGTACATGGGGGGGGACAAGAACTCCTAGCTGTTACTGGGAGCCAGGTTGGGCAGTTGGACCTGACTGGGCTTCTGGGTTGATCCATAAAGCATACCCTGTCCTTTCCAGGGAATGATGTGTGGCAGTTCCTGCGTCAGCACCTGGTGGGTCCCCCAGGCCCCCCTGGGCCACCAGGAGTTGGTGGAGATGGGTCCCTCCTGTCCTTGGACTATGGAGAGCTGAGCAGACACATTCTCAACTATATGTCAAGTGAGTGGTCAGAAGGGCATGGACTGAGGCCAAGGCATCCGAAGTCACTGAGATGTCCCCACTGCCACCTCCCACCCCACACCCCCGCCTGCCAGCTGCACTGAGCCCTGCGGGGACCAGGGGTCTCCAGAGCCGCTCAGAGAAAGTGCAAGCCCCAAAGCACGCATGCGCCGCCAGCACACACATTCCACACCCAGCAGTTGTCAAGCAACGTGAACCTGTGCTCTGCTCAGTGTCCTCCCCGTTGGATGTCATCGCCCAGGCGACATCTGCGTCTCCTCTCCATCCTTCTCCCTACTACCCTTCTCTCCCTTTCTCAGACCCCGCTTCTGCCCTCGTCCCCGACAGGCTGTTTGTGTCTGTCCCATGGGAGTCCCCAACAACTTGGGACCTTGTTTTCTAGGTTCTGGAATCAGCTTTGGGCATCCTGGCCCACCAGGGCCCCCTGGCCTGCCAGGAACATCCTATGAGGAGCTGCTCACCATGCTCCGAGGTAAGGCCAAGCAGGGACATCCATCAAAAGGTTTGGGATGGAAACTGGACCGTTGGTTCAGGCTGTGACTGACTCCTTCCTGCCTGCTAATGTCCCAGGGTCTGACTACAGGGACATCATTGGACCTCCAGGACCGCCCGGGCCACCTGGGATGCCAGGCAGCGCGTGGTCCAGCATCAGCGTGGAGGACCTCTCATCTTACCTGCACAGTAGGACACTAGGGGACAGGAAGAAAAGGGCAAAGGACTGTGGCCTGACCACGAGGGCATTCCTCATCTTCACCGGGGCCACCATGGGGAACTGAATCAATGCCCCATTCCCCAGTAGCACCATTGCACAGGGATGGGCCTCACAGCAGTGAGGAGCCATGAGCCATGGCAGGGTTAGAAACAGGGTTCCTAACTGTAGCCTTGCAGATCTCATGAGCCCTGTGATCAGTCTTGGAGTAAGGGTTCTAATGCCTGGTAGTAAAGGTCTAGGATGTGGGCTGAAGGCTGGAAGAAGCCCTTCAAAGCAGCCATTCCCAGATGATGACAGAAAGGGGTCACATGGGCCTCCTTTCTCCTGCATACAAGAGGCCCAGTAGGCATCCCCCATCCTCCTCTACCCCGCCCTCCACCGCCCCATCTCCTTTACTCCACCCATGGAGGGCCCACAGTAGGCCAAGGGGACACTGAGAATCTAGCTTTCTCTACCAAGGACACTGACCTTCCTCTTTCCCCTCCTCCCACACAGCAGCTGGCTTGTCCTCCATTCCAGGCCCTCCAGGCCCTCCTGGACCCCCAGGTCCTCGAGGACCCCCAGGTGTCTCAGCAGCTTTGGCCACCTATGCAGCTGAAAACAGCGACAACTTCCGCAGCGAGCTGATTGGTTACCTCACAAGTAGGTGCCTTGACGTTGGTGCCCCCCCCCCCAGACTATGACCATCAGCAGTCTTTCTATACACAGACAAGAGCCTCAAAGTTTCCTGTCACTAAGGGATTTTACTAAATCTCAGGAGACCCCTAGCTCCCAAGCATTTTGTCCACCACCATCTGGGCTAACGCATCTTCCTACCCCACAGGTCCTGATGTCCGTAGCTTCATCATTGGCCCGCCAGGCCCCCCGGGGCCCCAGGGACCACCTGGAGACAGTCACTTAAGGGACAACTACAGCTGGGGTAGCAGCTCCTCAGCCAGACGGGGCACTGCCTACAGCTCTTCCGTGGGCATGGGGGGAGCCAATGGAGGCTCCCTGGGCGAAGGCAGAACCTTTGGTACAGGAGATGGGGGTCCCTATGGCACTGACATCGGCCCAGGAGGAGGTTATGGGGCAGCAGCCGGTGGCATATATGGCACCGATGGCGACTCATTCCGGGCTGGCTTCACTGGAGACCTGGATTACAACAAGCTGGCAGTGAGGGTGTCTGAGAGCATGCAGCGTAAGTGGAAAACCTTGAACACCTCAGCATACAGGCCTCACAGACTGACCCTTATTTTGAATGCATGTGAAGACAGCAACTGTAGAATCAGATGAGCAGGGACTGGGAGAGAGGAGACCCCATCCTAAGTCTCCACCATCTCAGTGCAAGGGACCCCAGTATTGATACCTGCGCTGTGGGGAGCAGAGCACACCGGGGGGGGGGGGGTTGGTACTCTGCCCAGAGCAAGTCTGACAGTGACAACAGCATGGAACTTTGTGGAGGTTGTTAGTTAGCCAAGAAGTCCTTTCTCCCTCTATATCAGCACAGTCCTTCAGTCCAAAGGCCCCCGAGGAGTGTCACAACAGGCCAGGTCAAAGAGGGAAGCTGCAGGGCTTTCTTCCTCAGGGCGTTTCATCTAATCTAGCTGCTGCGAGTGAGGCGGTCTGAGGACTTCTGCGGCAGCCCACCACTGTGCAGTGGTGTCTGCGCCCGACACCTCTACCCTGGTGTTCCGCAGGTCAAGGCCTACTACAAGGGATGGCCTACACCGTCCAGGGCCCACCAGGTGTGCCTGGGCCCCAGGGCCCTCCTGGCATCAGCAAGGTTTTCTCTGCCTACAGCAACGTGACACAGGACCTCATGGACTTCTTCCGGAGTAAGCATACTGCCATGACTTCCCCAGCGCACTAACCTGCTGCCTACTTAGTCTCACATGAGGCCTGACACAAACACCAACTTAACAGCCCTCCTTTTCCTGTATCTGAGACACCAAAACCAGCGAAAGCCAGCTTCATTTCCTTGTCCAAGTCCAGATTCCAGCACTATCTGTGTCGCTTTGAACAAACCACTTGACCTTCCAAGCCTCCGGCAACATCTAATCTAAAGTCATTCTTTCCCTCCTCGCAGCACATGGAGCTATTCCAGGCCCACCTGGGCAAAAGGGAGAGGCGGGCACCCCAGGACCCAAAGGTGAGTGGTGTCACCTTGGCTGGTGCTGCGGTGAGCCACACCTTCAGGCCTGCATTCGTCACTAATGCCATACCCTCTCTGTGCTTCCAGGTGACAGGGGCCTTGCTGGACAACGAGGTCCTCCTGGGCCACCTGGCCCTCGAGGGCAGAAAGGAGACAAAGGAGACAAGGGTAAGTTCTGATGTTGGGACTTCTGAGGTTCTGGGCTCAGTAGAGAAAAGGTAATTTGCTTGCGGGCTAGCCTGTGGAGCTCAAACACTGGTGCAGAAAAGGGGATTTAGCACACCTGGGAAGGAGGGCGCCTCGAGCTGCCGCAGAGTGAGAAAGAACCTGGTAACACACAGGGTAGACAACTGGAAGAGAAGTTTACATAGGATCAGCCTTTCAAGCCACTTTTAGCAACCACTGTTGGCATCACTTGCCCTAGAAGGCCACGGGCCACGTATTTAACCCTTTTCATCTTTGGACTTCCAGGCGACCAAGTCTACACTGGGAGAAGGAGGAGGAGTATTGCCATCAAGCCATAAGCTCTCGGACCAGTACTCGGGTGCCTATGTCCAAGTGTCCCCAGGGGCTGGAACCAAGTCACCTAGCAACACTTGTTTTAGTCTGAACAAAATGTATACATACGGAAAACTCAGACACACAATGAAACACAGCTACACTGATTGGGTGGGCCTTTGGAATAGCTGCAAAATGTAATGAGACTTAACCTCTCTGCTATACAGATCCGAGCTCCCTGGCTCCTGCAGCACTTAGCTCAGGCCTAAACCTCAGACCCAGCTACATAAATGTTGGCTGGGGAGTCTTGGCGCTTTGCCTAAAAATGAGCCCAGAAAATGGAAAGCGGGATGGGGGGCCTTCGCAGGGTGACACTTGATGGGCGCTTTCTGGTTACTGTTACCAAGGCTTGCTTTCAGCTCCTTCCCTGCTCACTCTGCGTTCTCCAGTCCCAGACAAGAAGGGGCCCTGACAAACTCACTTCCTCAGAGGCAGTGGCGTTTCAGACAGCTATCACAGTCAAGATGCCAATCACCTCCCACTGGTTTCCAAGCTTGACTGGTGGAAGCTATGGCCTGTGTCCTTGTGCACACCAGAAGTAACAGTTATGACACCACACTAGACCACAGCGGACAGTACAAGAGAGGCAGAGAGCAAGGAGGAGGGAATCCCTGATGCTGGGGAAACGTGGCTTCCACACCCCCGCTCTGCACACAGCGAGTGGCATGGGACCTGGGTGCAGCTGGTTTTTAAGCACTTTTCACTGTCCAAAACATTTGTATGTAATCTGTAAGATGAAAATTCATTTCAACTGTAAAATTTTCAAATAAAGTGTTTTTTTTTCTTTTTTAGTATGTTTACTATGAATTCTGTGGGAAAGAAAGGTTAAAAGTTAACTGGGTCTACATTACAAACATTAACAGAGAAGACTGGCTGCATTTAGGCCCAGCCTTTAGCATTTTGTCACTGCTGTCTCTAAAGGCAGACTTTTATCTGAAGTTACTAGCTCACCTGGACATACCAGACGAAGCAGTTTGTTTCTCTACGTTCCTTGAAATATAAACACATATACAAAAAATTAGCAAGCTTCCTTGCAATTAATGTATGGCTGGAGGCCAAATATATAGACCACAAAGATGTCTACTAAGGAAAATGTAGACCCATCAGATACCCCAAAGAAATGCATGGTAAAACCAGAGGAGTCTGCCTTAGGCAATTTGTTAATTTGTTGCAAGCTGTGACTCTCAATTGCTGGGTGATTAAGCAGGGGATTAACATAAACCCACTTCTAGGTCTCTACTCTTCCAAGATGGGATTTATACTATCTTTTGTTTTCTCCTGAGTACCTCACATACATACATCCTACAGAAAGACGTGATCTAGTTTCACTCCAACAAGCAGCTGCTGCTGTGCCAATGCAAGCCCAGCAGCAGAATGCTGCATCCTCATCAGAATGCTGCATGGTCTTCTGGCCTGGCTGTTACATCCTGATGGCTACCCACAAGAATCAACTTGGGGAATTCATACAACATACACAATTTCATGTAACTTGTTTTTTACAGGGAATAGTACCTATTGTGAATAACAACGAATGCAATGCGTCTTTTAATTTTTAAAGAATATTTCAGTTTCATAATGAAAACCTTTTGAAATACACTTTTTACTTTGGGGCTCAAGTATTACATGTTAATGATTTCTGTCTTGATTAATCGGACCTAGGAAATGTTTCTTGATCACTAGACTTTATGAAGACATCTAAGTCTTCAAGTCCAACCGTGCTGCCCTTTCCAGACAAAACCCAGAGAGGACAGACAGACATGGAGCTGTGTCTTCAGCTGGATGGACAGCAGTGGATCTGAGCCTCTTTTGTTTCACTGGGAAAGGGGGAGTGGTCAGGAATGAGCTCAGTAGTACACAAGGCTCTGAGATTAGAAAATGACATCACTGTCTCCCTCTAGCCAAGCTGCACTCAGGCCAGGCAGGGTTGCCAGTGTCCACTGAGTGGTGTTGAATGTATCAATGACAAATAACAAGAGGGGGGTAGCAAATCATTTTTTCATTGGATTTGCAACACTTGGTGAAACAAATAACTCTATGCCAAGGAGAAGAAAAGGAAATAAAAGCAAACACATCTGTATGCGAACACAGACATTTCAAGTATCTCCCAGAGGAGTCTGCATGTTGGAAGGTACTTACCAGCAAGTTAAAAATGAGCTTTGTCAGGAGAGAGAGAGATTACCACAGATGGCTAGGGTCGATGATAAACATGGAAGGTCAGAAGACTGAGACGAACACAAGTTTAAAAATAGAACTAGGTTGCTAGAGGTAGTGGTGCACGCCTTTAGTCCCAGCACTCGGGATGCAGAGGCAGGCGGATCTCTGAGTTTGAGACCAGCCTGATCTACAAGAGCTAGTTGCAGGACAGCCTCCAAAACAATATAGAGAAACCCTGCCTTGAAAATCAAAACAACAACAACAACAAAAAGAACTAGGTCAAAAAAGAAAAGAAAAGTGTCTCAGGCAGGACACACTCATGTCTAAGATTTTTAATTAAAAAAATGCTTCCCAAAATAGATTAAGAAATAACTTTATTGTCTGACAATCCGTGATTGAAAAGGCATGTTTCTGATCCCAAGTAGACAAGAAGCACAATGTGAAATGAAATCCTCTTTGAAAATGTAGCTTGTGAGCTTATTACACTGCAAAGAATCACATTTTTAAGCTGCAGCCAACATTTGAAACTGGTAAAACACTATCCCAAGCTTTGTAGCAGAAATCTTAAAGCATTATCAAAACCATGTCAGCCAAAGAACAGTGAGAGCAGAGGCATTGACTGTTGCCTCTGACGTAAGAGAAACACTGGAACACCGCCACGGCCTGTGAGGTCACCTCCCACAAAGGACCAGAGGGCTGCCAGAACCCACACCTCTTCTCCCACCGCAGTTCCGGGCGCTACTCTGCTCTGCAATATTTCTAACTATTAAGTTGGCCAAACTGGGCTTCTTAGAAGAGGCTTTGTCATATGATAAGCACAGTGTGGAATGGGGAAAGTATGAGGGTACTGGGGACCTGAAGAGTACAAAAACAGTCACTCCTTAGACTTGCTGATGCTCAAGAAATCAGAGAGGCCTCCGTGGGGAGGGTCTCATGTGCCTGAGAGCGCGTGCTTGAGAGAACACTGCTTAGAGGTAGCTCTGGTTCTGCTTCTTTCTTAGTTACAATTTGCCACGTCCTGTCATGTGGGAAGGTTCCGATATTTTCAGCAAAGTAAAAGCCTCTAAATGCCTCCCCACCCAGAGAAAAGGGTAAGAACGAGCTTACTCCACCTAAAATAGCAGCTAATTCAGCAACCTGCAGATCCACAGATGGACAGAAACCGTGCGCCTGGGCTCTAGGAGCTGGACCTGCAGAGTGTGGCGGAGGTGTGGCATGTCCACTGCATGCAGGGAAGGGGAGGGGACTGCTGGAGGTGCACACAGACACTTCCCTTTATGCACTTCATGGCACAAGGGCACACTGCCACAGCAGCCAAGCAACTTCATGGGGGGGGGGTGATGGGCTGACTGTACTCTCAGACTCAAGGACGTCTGTGCCCTCAGCAAATCCCACCTACACTTCATGCAGGAGGAAAGGTTCCTATTATCTACATGGCATGAGGCCTTACAAGAAGCAGACAAGTTCAGGAACAGCGTGCTCTGTTACAAACACTTTGTATATATAACCTGAAGGGTTAGAGGCGTGTCCCCCTCTCCATGTGTACCACTGGACAGTCCCTGAACCCACGGGAATACAGCCATGCTTGAAAGAAAACACAAGCAGGGGCACCCCTTCCAGCCTCTGTCCGAGACACAATGCTCTAAATGTCAAGTTGAAAAGAAACAGGAAGGGCAGATATTCAGACCAAATCATGTCTACAGTTCCCTAAATGATACAGAAAATAAGCCCACTGACTGAACTATTCCTTTGTAAAAGCCCAATAAAATGAACAATTCAAAGGAGCCTTCCTCCCCTCTCCCTCTTCAAATAAATCATTAAATACACTGGGAAACATAATTCCGTCTTTTATCATAATAATATAAACAATTTCCATCATCATCCTGAATATTACTTTATAAAGATATATATTTAAAGGCTCTCAAAGAGTTTTCAACCCAGCATCTGAAAATAAAGCATTAAGAATTCTGTATACAGTAACACATTCATGTGATAAGTGTATGAATTTACAACCATACATTATATATATATGTATATATATTTATATAAAAAACAAAATTGGCTGAAAGTTAAGGCTACCTACAAGGTTGTCCAGGAAAATTAAGCTTGTCAAAATAATTATAAAATTAAAATTACACATGCATTTCGAAACCAGATAAAGTTCAGCATTCAAAGTTTTCAAATGAACTGCAAGAAAGTACTACAGACATCTACATTTTCTTAATATGAACTGGTGTTCCCACAACATTATACTGACATTACTATTTTCACCAACCTCAAAATATAACTCAAAACTGAAACGTTTACAATTTGGTACCCAGCACTCTTAGAGGAGAATAGGGTGCCAACAGGCAGGCAGGCAGGCAGGCAGGCAGCTGCATCATTCACAAATGTGCTGTTTATAATACTGTTGACCTGACACGGCTGAGATTGAGCTTCAAAAAGAACTAAGAGTGAGCATTTCATTAATAATCACTTGTACCAGCAACCACATGATAAAGGTTTCAGGTTTTTCCTATTCAGAGTAATTAATTTAAACATGGAACAAAATAAAACCAAAATGCACTTGAATAACCTCATTTGAAACAATACAATGTCACTTTGCATGTGTGCCTGCGACCGAATGGAAAGCCTTTGTGGACAAACGCTTCTTCTAAGGCTAGCTTCAGGACTGTAGGTGTGACTGCAGCCCTGGGCCAGAGGCCTCTAAGCATCCACTGAGGAACAGAACTTGCTGAGATGGAGGGAGTAAGTGGGAGGGCTTAGTCTGTGCTACCGACAATGTCGTGAGTTCTTTATGTTCAATTTGCACATTTGAAAGCTAGTTCGTTCATCTTTCCAAACTCTGTACAAAATTTGTTTCAGGATGAATATTGAATGGCAATATATGTAAGTTTTTAAGACAGTAATGTTCAGTGAGGAGGATACTTTGTTCCTGTTGATCAAAAAGAAAACCCCACTTTATACATGATTAAAATTCAGTGTTTTAGGCACTATCTTAATAAAATTAGCACCTCAATTACTAGTTCCTGCCCATACAGGCTAATGTTTGTGATAGTTTAATGAATAACCTTTCTCTTTGAAAAGACCTTGATCCTGTTTAATGATAAAAATATATCTATGTACTGAATCAATATCGTATTTCTGTAACTCATGGCTTTTTAATAAGAGCTGGTTTGTCAAAAGAAAATTACTCCAATTCTACAGCAGAATCTTAACTATAGAATTTAGCATCATTGAGAAACCAGGCAAAACAGTATTTATTAATACTTAAATGATGTAACAGGTTTGGTTTATTTCCCCCCAAATAACTTTAAACATTATTTTCTCTGGCAGTTTTTCAGTAACAGTGTCTAAAGAATACAATATTTAAGGTCAATATACAAAATCACCTTAGGGAATTACTGCAAGATGCTATTTGCCAACATGGCCTCGCATCTGTCTTAGCTTGTTTGCCCTTCATCTTTGTTTAACAATAAAATCCAAGAAATACATTTTTTAACCACCGAGAAGATGACAGGTGATTGTCTTTGTGAGTCATACATACTGTGGAAGATGAAGAGAATACAATGATGTACTTAGAAGCCACATCCAGAGAGAGAATGCTTACTGTTGCTATGACCCAGTGGAATGCAAGGTGGGAATAGGGTAGAATTTGGAGATACGGCTCTGTGCTGATGGATTAAGACATTCGGATTCCCCCGTCATTTTAAAAAACACTTCCTGCTCCTGCAGTTTCCTGGCAAACTCTTCTTCCAGTGTCTTAAAGAAGAAAGAGACAAACAATTACCCAGGGTATGGAGGGGATGACTCACGTGTCTTGTGAGGACCAATCCAGTTCCCAACACCTATACCAGGAGGCTCACAATTGCCTGTAACTCCAGCTCCAGGGAACCTGATGGCCTCCATAGGTACCTGCATCCACATGAACATACCCACGCACACATAATTTTCTAATCTTAAAAAACTAAAACCTCCTGGCCCCAAACACTTTATTTAGTAGTTAAGACCACACACTTCACAGCCCCAGACTCAAGACTCAGCTCAATAGTCCCATGCTACAGAAGAAAGGCACCACCGAACTTACCTTGTTGGCATGCCAAGGCACCACCGAACTTACCTTGTTGGCATGCCAAGTGATCGTTAAATCTAAGAACCCAGCAGGTGACACCTATCGCAACTGCCACCTACTTTTTGTGTCAGTTACTGACACACATGTCTTTCTCCCACACTGAACTACAAGACATATAAACCTAAGATCTAAACTAGACTCATCTTACAACCCCAAAATTTTACCAAGCAAAAATACTAAGTGTTTCATAAAGAGCTGACTTTGTGGAAACCTAACCCTGATGATTTCATGAGGTTAACCTTTTGAGTGGTGAGTGGGTCGGAAGAATGGAGCCTCCAAGTGGGATTAGCATTCTTTTAAGGGGCAAGCAGAGAGTTCATTGCTGAAGAAGGCAACCCTCACTAGAACCTGAGCATGCCAGAACTCTGGACATGGACTTCTCAAACCTCCATCTTATAATACTTTGTTACAGTGAACTGAATGGACAGGAACCCACGACTGTAGGTGAGTCATTTAAAGAAAAGTGCGACTGTTTAGGCTGGAACAAAATACAAGAAGGTTTCTCAGAAGTAAGACGTAAACTCAGCCATGAAGCAATGTCAGCAAGTGATAGACAGGACAGAGAAGGTCTCCCAGACAAGAGAAGCTAATGCAGTGACACAAAGACAGAGGTGCTAGGAGGAATGGTTACTCTACCATGCAGCAGCACACTGAGAACAAAGTGTCCAATGGGAGAGGCAGTCAGAGGCTATAGCTCAATGTATCACTGTGAAGGCTTCAAAGTCAAACTGCGGGATTGATGTTGTACTTGATGGAACTGGGTAGAAGGCAGGAATGTTGCAAGCTTGAGGTCAGCAGGGATACAAGCAAACCCTGATTCAAAATAGCAATAGTAACAGCACTAATGAACAGTCAAAGCAACATGATCACCTGTGGCCTCAAGGACTGAGACACTGAGAACTTGTTTTTCCTTCTTTTGGAGACTGGGTTCCATGTAGCCCAGGCTAACCTCGAATTTATCATGTAACTGAGGATGATCTCGAACTTCTGATCCTCCTGCCTCCACCTTCCAAGTGCTCAGATATCAGGCATGTACCACTATCACTGATATGTACACCAGACAGAAAGCTCACAAGAAAAGAAAGGTTGATGTCTTAAGGGTTAGCAAAGGGACACGGACAATAGAGTAACAGCCAGAGATACAGAGGTTAAACAATGAAACCAGGCCCACAGGGAAGTTCAGTTACAAACAAGGGTAATGGAAGGAAAGAGGAAATAAGCCATTCTTATGATTTGTGTCTTAAATTTAATTCAAGGACCTTGTTACTGTGGCTTCAGCTGACAGAAAACTTGGCTGTCGCTGCTTTCTTCCTGTACTCCCCTAATGTCCTATACCCTATACTACTCTCCAAGGGACTATTTATCATTTTCCACATGCAATACTTTTGCTTATTCTATTTTCTCTGCTTGTCCCATTCCTTTCCAATCTACCCATTTGCCTGAAAGTTATTTTCCATGCTTCACACCCCACCCACCCAGCTTCGACATCTCCAACGTCCTCCCAGGGATTTCAGCGTTCCTCCTATGTGCTCACGTGCTCTGCTCCCCTGCATCCTGTTCTAACATACCCCTAGCAAAGATCCCCCAACTTGTATCACTCCTCACAAAGATCCTGGATGTTGGGAATAGGGACACTGTCTTTTCATCTCTATATCCATTGTGTCACTGCACCTGATACAAACAAAGTAAAGACCCAGTAGCCAGGTAACGGATGAACCACACAGAGCTCTTAAATCACCTTTTTCCTCGGTCTTAGTTTTTCTCTCCACTCTTTTAACTCTTGGCTGTGTTCCTCGTCTAACTCCTTCAGTTTCTGAGTCTCATGTTCAACCAACAGGTGGCATTTTTCATTCTGAAAATAAAGTTGGTATTAAATATTTCTCAGGTCAATGGAGCAATTTTTAACAGATTCAGTTTTCTTTCAAAGTGGCTAGATATCATGCTGTTATGGAAGCTCAAATTCTCCTTTAAAAACTAAGTGCCAAGGGTTGTTAAATAGTCTGTTTTATAAGTGTATAAACACCTTCACTGTTTTTGAAACTTTTATATCTTCTTGCAAAAAATACTAAATACCATGTAAAGCCGTTCACATAACATATGTAAAAAAGAACTTAAGTAGAAATACTTTGGGTTTTTGCTTTTCCATTTGGTAAAGGAGTTGGAGTTGGTAAGTACTCTATTCCAGTAAATTAGCCAAATATACAGGGTATCAAAATTACCTGTTACTCTGAAAGTATAAGCATTTTGGGCATTCACTAGATGGACTATGCATTCCATACAAACTCCAAAAATAGCCCTCTCTAATCCTAATCTCTAATCAACTAGAAAATTTTTCCGAATGTTTTTTCACAAAACCAGAAAAAAAATCAGCCATATCCTTTTAAATTAAAAAAGAATTAAATTCAGAATCCTAAACACACCATCATCTAATACTAGAAAGCTTATTTGAGAATGCTTTCAAAGACTATTCCTCAGATTTTCATTTAGCTTCATGCCTACATTCAGATTTTCATTTAGCTTCATGCCTACATTCACCCTGGTCACATGAAATAAAAACAAGGGTCTATGGCAGTACACAGCTCTGCCTTTGGGTCTATGCAAGCAGCACACACTTTCATACCCAACATGTGCAAATTTTGACTGGCTCGTATTTTCTCCACATTAGCCACACGGCTGCCTGGCCACCGTGTCCCATCGTCAGGCTCCTGAACCTCACCTGCAGCTGGTGCAGTTCTCGGACATTGGCTTCACACTGCAACTGGAGATCCCGCATTTGGCTCTCATGTTTTTGATGCTGAGCCATTCTCTCGTTTTTCTGCCTCTTTTCTTCTTGTGCAGCAAACTATAAATAAGAAAAGCAAAAGACAATTTTGTAAGGAAGCAGAGTAATCGCTACACACTTTAAAGGTACAATAAAGGAATTTAATAAAGCTTACAAAGCAGTAAGTTAAAGCTGTAACCCTACACTGCAACTCAACCCTGTAGCCTGTACGACTGAGATAAAGAGAAAGGAGATGACTTCTGGTTTAAAGCCTCTGTGCTTCAGTTTTTAATGATCTCCAGGGGCAGAAGATCATCTGTTGCTGCAGAAGCGTCACAAGGTGGACATGTTTTTTGACTTCAAAAGCTGTCCAAGTTATCTCATTCCCATTTGTCAAGGGAGAGACAGCTTTGCCCTCTATGGTCCCACACATGGAAGACTAAGTAGGTATGTAACATGCCTGTCCCAGCTCAGAAAGTTAAAAATAGCAATCCCAAGATGAGACTACCTGTCTAAACCCAATTATGAGGTACTTTTAAAGGTCATTCAAATTCGTTAAACCCTAAAAAAAGAAAAGAATCTATCTAAGTACCTGTTTAATTTTTTCACGGTCCTGGTCTGGTGTGGCTGTTGAGTTAATTCTCAAACTTTTCTTAAACATGGCCATTCGTGTCTTGGCTTCACTTCGTTGAATCTTGGGTAGTCTCGCTCGTTCCTGAGTCTGTCTGTTTTTCAATTCCTCAATAAGTCGTTGATTATAACGCTGCATTTGTTCTGTTTCCTAAGAAGATTTAAACAGACTTGACTCTCAGCATCCACAGGCATGTTCTAAAACGACATCTGTTAGTGTTTCCAATAGGTGCCCTCTTCCTAACTGCATAATGAGCAACAAAATATTAGGCAAAAACTATTTAAAGGAAAGTTATTAGATGACAGCAATGTTACAACAAAATTATTTTTCCCCATTTCAGGAAAGACATGTTCTTAAGATACCTGAATCACAACTGGAACCAGGAAGATAGAAGATGAATATGACAATTTATTAGGTGGTTAAAACATAATTGACAGAAAAGTTTGCAATCAAAATAAAGATTATAATCACACATTCAAAACTCAAAAAAATTAAGATAAAAGATAGAAATAAAAACCCCCACAATCAATTCTCTAAGAAAGTAAACTGCAAAGCTGAGTAACTTTATAAAGAGAACTAGGAAGTGAGGAAGTCTCTCTCTGCTTACCTTCTCATGGCGTTTAAGGAGCTGGTGTCTCTGCATGAAGTACTGGTCTTTCAGCTGCTGCTTAAGCAACTGGTGCTTTTCCTGTAGATGCCGCTCTTCAAGCTCCCAAACTGCAGCTTCTCGAGCTGAAAGGAGGTGGTTTGCACAATGTCACTTGGTTCTGACTAAAGTGCCACACTCTTCATTTTAATATTTACACTAAAGTGTTTTATATATGCTAACCTACATACACAGATAGACATTCCAAGGTATAAAAAATGCTATCAATGTAAAATAGTATTTATTATCACTTTTTATTTTATTTTTAATGTCCTACACTAAGAATGTCTTATCAGGAATGACAAAACTCCACCTTAAAAAAGAAAAACAGAAACAAAAACCTAATCTGTTAGGGGGAATAAGAACTTCAAATTCCATCCTATCATTTTCTCACTATATGATTATATGTGATATACTTACATTGGTAATTATAAGGCATAATTAGTATATAAAATTATTCAGACAGAATGACATGTTTTAAGTTGGGTTATAAGTTTGTTTTTGAAGTGCTGAGTTGAGCCAGGCCCTTAAACACAGGGCGTCATGTGCACACAAAGTATATATTCTAGACGGAGCTACATCCCCAGTCCATATTTTTAGTATACTTTTAGAGACACTTCTACCATATTTCACAGTACTTCTCAATTTAAAAACAAAGAAAACCTCTTATTTTAACTTTATCTTTCCATTTGCCACCCTAGCAAAGGGAAAGCACTCAATGTTCCGCAATGCACACCTTAAGGCAATGTTTCTGAGACATTTTTTGTTGTATACACATACACACACACACACACACACACACACACACACACACACACACTGTGGACTGTCACATACCTCTCATAAGCTGTTGCTTGTTATTCAAGCACTCTCTCTCAATATTAGCCAACTCTGCCTTCTGTTGTTGGATGATCTTTTTCAGAGAGCCATCTAATTCTTGCTGTTGCTTCTGAACAAATTCTTGTTCCTAATAGACACAATTAACCATCTGTTAATATATATCTACTGAATTAAACATTCAGTTATGAAGTACCTATGTATTAGTGGTTAAGGAAGTTTCTTCTTCTCTTTAAGGGAAAAGTGATGGAGACTGACCCAGGGCCTTGTGAGTGTAGGGCAAGCGCTCCAGCACTGAACTGTATCCCTGGTAGTAGTGAAGATTTCTAAGTGAAGTTTATAAAGCATCACTAAAATTATGTTGTACAGATACAGCACAAATGTATTGGTCATCTAACTCAATTCTAGAAAAGTATTAGAATGTACATTCAAAATTCAATAGTAAGAATGATACACATAAAAAGTGTACATCCATTCATAATTAAAATGTTCTATTTTATTGAAAGCTTTGGGAAAATAACAAAATTACAACTGAAAAAGAATGTTTTCTCCACTATGGTATAACTAGAACAAGAGTAAATAAGAAATTCCTTTTAAGAATAGAGGCAACTAAAAACAAACCAACAAACAAAAACGATCACCACAACGTCTAACCCCATTTTTCTAAGAAATAGACTGAGGAGAAAGACCTTGCCTGGACTAACAGTGGAGAACAGTGCTTATCATCTATAACAGGTACCTAAAAGAACAACAGTTTGAAGGCTAGAGAAATATAGCTTAGGGCTAGGAAAGTATCAAAATGAAGGAATTCTATCAACACATTTGAGACTCACTAATTCACTTAACAAATACTTGCTTAATGCCTACCATTTGCCAGATTTATGCTTTAAAAAGGTAAGTCTCAGTCGGGTGATGGTGGTGCTTGCCTTTAATCCTAGCACTCAAGAGGCAGAGGCAGGAGATCTCTGTGAATTCAAGGCCAGCTGTTTGATGTACAGAGCGAGTTCCAGGACAGGTTCCAAAGCTACATAGAGAAACCAAATCTCAAAAAAAGGCAAATCTGGATCTCTATCCCCTTTTGGTAGTAACAGAAGATAATGTGTAGTCCCAAGGATACAAAAATACAAAAATGTAGGTTTCATCTTTAGGGCTGACACAATGCTTAATCTGCAGTCCTTTTTTCTTGTGCATCCAGGAAATAATCTAGACCCAGCTCTATTTCAGAACAGTTCTTTGGGACTTAGATGGAGTCTGACAAGATCTGGATCACCACCAGCCTGGTCCTTAAGGTGCACAGGCTGGCAGACTCCTCCAAGAGTTGGTTATGACATTGCCTCTAGAGTTGGTCATTGCAAGTTGTTGTAAGGGATAGTGTGGAATTGCAAATGTTACCACCATTTTCTAGCATAATCATGTATGTTTTAGTATACATCTAAATACACACTAGCAGAAAGAAAAGACTTGTGAACTGATAACAAAAACAGAAAAACCCTTTTGATTCATTTAATTATCTAGAATAAATAAAGCCTCTTAGGTTGTATTTAAGAGAGGCAAAACCTGCATGCCACCTTTTAAGCAGTTACTTATACTCTTTGCTACAACAAATATTTGTAATAAAAATAGTGTTCCTTTTAGCCTCTGATACAAGGGTTCTACATGTAAACCTGTTCAATAAATGTTTAACCTGGAGATACAGAGAAGCATTTCTCTTGATCAACATTTTTATCATTGGATTGCATCATAGATTTTTAAAATATCTGCACAAACGCTTAACTAGCATATATGCTGACTTTACATTTAGATTCAGAAGTCAAATATCGAAGTATAAACTCAAGCCAATAAATACATGAAACAAACAGGTAAAAAAAAAAAAGCTATGTCACTAAGTACATGATTTCCGTTTATGCCATTTGTGGGCATGTCACTGCCCTTAAGATCTGAATTACGCAGGGCGGTGGTGGTGCACACCTTTAATCCCAGCACTCGGGAGGCAGAGGCAGGCGGATCTCTGTGAGTTCGAGGCCAGGCTGGACCGACAGCCTCCAAAACAATACAGAGAAACCCTGTCTCGTAAATATCAAAAAAAAAAAAAAAGATGTGAATTACACAAGGTTAGAGTTTAGGTATTCAACATATGTCTGACAGTGCTAGTACAGGCTGACTCAGCACATGCTGGGCACTGCTAGGTACAGTACAACTAACTAAAGCAATAAAAACAGTCCCAGAAAGCAAACTAAGGATCAACAAGTCTAAGTCAAGATAGGTAGTGATGGGCTAGTATGGGCATGCTTCCTGACAGAAGCTAGCAAGGAACCAGGTTGTCTCACAGCTGAATAAGCAAACAGAGTTTAAATGACAATAGATGGAAGACACCACACAAATAGTTTACATTAAAGTAAAAAAATTACCTGAAAAAGACCCTTTCACACAAATTAATATACTTTACTTCAAATGAATGTAATTTTAATATTATTGCCCATTCATTAAATTTCCCTACTTCAAAACTGAAATACAATACATTTGCAGTAGAATTTGTAACTAGAAATTGCTCTCAGGAACAGAAACTAAGAGAAATTTCACATTCTGAAAAGTCGGCCTGGATTACATTCTGCCTTTAAAAATACCTATAAGGTTATCAGTAGAAGTCACAAAAACCAACAACAAAAAAATCCAAACTAAGAAATCCAAAAATCATTTCTAAAAATAGACTCATACACTATGAAATCAGTGATCTTTAAAAGTACAAGTTCAAATTCTGATAAGTAATTTTATCATATCAGTTAACTAACTCTAAGTATTAAAACTATAGCTTTGTGTCCCAAAAACTATCAGAAGTTTATGACAAGTTGGACTACTTGTATGAAATTTGATCACTTACTTAACAGATTTACTCAAAAATGGTAATGATCAGAAAAATGATTGTAAATCATAATTCCTTGTTTAAAAAATACATGCCAATTACTTTTTAAATCTAATTTAGAAATGGGGGAAACAGAAAAGGCTGAAATCAAGCTGTATTCTATCTACTCCAGTTGTATATACCAAACATCACAAACAAAATTTACCATGTTATACTGGCTAGCCTTTCCTATGGGAACTGTGAGAAAGAATACAGTTTGGAATTTCAGGCATAATTTCAAACTACCGTAATAATAACACTTCAATATTTATTACTGACAATTTGAATAAATGGAGACAAATTAAACAGAACTAAAATAACTACTTTTACCATGGCTTTTCTGACCACATCCATAATCAAGACATCTAAATTGTACGTAATCAAAATGTCACTTCACACAAAGATAAAAATCTAATCACAGCATTCAATTTCTCACATGTGCAAAGTTTATAAAACTCTACCAGAAAGATAATTTACTTTTCCTAAAAATCATGAAAATTTCAAGTTAAAATCTATGGTGGGAAGGCAGAAAAACAGAGCCCTCCACAGCAGACGTCTGCTTCCAGCTCTCCTGCTGATGCCATGCAGAGCACTGGTCTGGAGCAGATCACTAGTCATCTGTGCCCGTGTACTGCATCTGGACAAAGGATATGTATACTCCATCCCTACATGAGGATGGTGCCGGTGAGAACCAGATGTGAAAACTCTGAAGAACACTGTTAGTACTAAGCTCATGCCAGACTATTACTACTGTTATTGGCATCAGCTCTCAACATCCTACAGTTCAGCCAATGAAGTCACTAATGAAAGCACATGTGAGTCAAAGAAAGCGCAAGTAAAGCAGAAGGCCCCTCCCACAGCACGCGGACTTACGTCCTGCATTTGGGCGTTGAACACCGCACAAGATGACAAGTGAAAAGACTGAATCATGACCTGAGCAACACCCTGTGGATCAGAATACAATGCACCTTCCAGGTGAGAAAGCAGACATCTGCATGACTTTGTGTAAATTCAAAGAATAAGGTCAAGTCAATTAAAAGAGGGACCTATCTCCCATCTATAGAATAAAAAGTGAGAACTAGGTCAGTGGTTTCCAAACTCTAACGTATTACTTGTCTCTAAATCAGTGGAACTCCTTTTAGAGAGAGAGAGAGAGAGAGAGAGAGAGAGAGAGAGAGAGAGGTTTATAAATCAGGTTTAAAGTGGTGCTCTTAAAATAATGACATCCTAAACTTTGCAAGTAAATGGACAGAACTAGAAAAACCATCCTGAGTGGGGTAACCCAAATCAAAAAGACAAGTAAATATAGTATGTACTCACTCATAAGTAGATACAAGACATAAAGCAAAAGATACTCAGCCTACAATCCACAAAGCTTGAACCCTTTTCCAGATACGGAAGCAGATGGAGAAATCCACAACTAACCAATGGACCAAGCTCCTGGAGCACAATCAAAGTGAGGGAGGAGCGATAATGTGAATAAAGGAGTCAAGACCATGATGGGGAAACCCACAGAAACAGCTGACCCGAGCTAGTGAGAGATCACTGACTCAGGTCTGACAAATGGGGATCCTGCATAAGACCAAACTAGACTTCCTTAATACAGGTGACAATGGCGTGACTAGGACAATATATGAGGCCAATAGCAGTGGGTCCAAGATCTAACTCTAAAGCACAAACTGACTTAGTGGAGCCCATTCTATATGGAGAGATACCTTGTCTAGCCTAGACACAGGATTGTGGAGGTGGAGAGGTGCCTTGGTCCTGCCTCAACAAGATGATGGGACAGACTTAGTAGACGTCCTAGGAGAGGCCTTACCCTCTCCCAAGAACAGATGGGAAGTGGGAGGAGCAGGAGGAGAGGAGGGAGGGGGAACTGGGATTGGAATGTAAAAATATAAATTAAGAAAAAAAGAAAAAAAAAGTGATGTCTATGGCCTGCAAGGTGACTTAAGTGGGTACAGTACCTGCTTAAGCCCCACATGTGGGAAGGAGGGAGGACTTTCAAAAAATGTTGGCCTCTAGCAAAACACAGATAAATGAAATATGAAAGATACAAAGAGAGTGAAAAAAGAGGGAGAGGAAGGGTAAAACAAGGAGGAACAGAAAAAGTCCTCTTTTGCACACAGAAGCAACAAAACTCCACAACCATTGCCTTGAATACAAGATCTTAGTAAGACAGTCTGAAAGCTTGTAGACTAGGTGTCAAATATGTACCAGCTCCACAGCTA